GCAGCCTACCTGCATACCCTTTGTTGCTGTGATGTTCATATATAGAAGTCCTGTGTTTTCAGAGGTAGAGAGAATGGGAACCGCACCGACACCGCATCCCGGAGACTGAAGAGAACAGAAGCTCGAAAAGCAGACGGAGAGACCGGCAGGGGGCGCTCCACTGCAGCGCTGGGCTGAACCAACACAAACCCCACCCGAGAGAGAGAGAGAGAGAGAGAGAGAGAGAGAGAGAGAGAGAGAGAGAGAGAGAGAGAGAGAATTTCATTGCGTGAATTCATCTAAAAAAGATGTTATCATTTTAATTGACTTTAAATCAAATCACTATCAGCATAATCAAAGTCTTATTCTTTAGACGTTTTATTTGTTTTACCTTCTAATATGTCATTATTAGTACTAATTAGCCTATACTGTTTACAAATTTACAAATCATTGACGACTCGGGACGTGAAAACAATTTCTTTCTGGTTTTGTTTTGAGGGATAATTTCACTCAGTGCTACGTAAAAGTGCGATCAGATTCTCCATATGAGGTTACATAAGAGAGATATACTCTGCTTCCATGAAACACATAATCTTTTCCATATTCTGTTGGATGTGCAGAAGTTCATCATAAGAACACATTAGAGACTTGATGTTGCTGTAATATAATATAAATAATAATATAAACCGAAATCAATACTGCATTGGAAAAGATGAGATGGCCTTTATTCTTATCTCTTGTAAATTGTGTTCTGAAACCAGTAATACCAGAAATTTTGTTTCCCAAAGCTAAACAGCTTTTAGTGTCCCGGATAAAACTGGGCATGTGGTTTGAATATGCGCAATTAGGATGAGATGCCTTTGGGACACTGAAATCAACAATTACCATGCAGCTACTCGTGCGTCATGATTAATCCGGGCAGATGTTTTCACATTATAGGACAAGCAAATGCAAGCTTTCGACGTAACAAGCATGATAACACTCCTTGTTCCTGTAAAATAATTAAAAGTAGAATCAATGTTTTATGTTTTTCTTTTATTTTCATATTGTTTTATCTGAATAAAGATATTGTTTTAAAATGCTGCAAATGTCTGTCTATCTATCTATCTATCTATCTATCTATCTATCTATCTATCTATCTATCTATCTATCTATCTATCTATGAATGTGTTTTCTTTTTCAATTTTTTCTCAAATGATTTTTGACAAGATTAATTTTCCACAGTATTTCCTATAATAGTTTTTCTTCTGGATAAAGTCTTATTTGTTTTATTTTGTCCAGAATAAAAGCAATTTTAAATTTTTAAAAAAACATTTTATGATCAATTTGATCTTAAAATGTTTTTAAAAAAATTTTAAATGAAAAATTGCTTTTATATATATACGTATATATATATATATATATATATATATATATATATATATATATATATATATATATATATATATATATATATATATATATATATATATATATATATATATATATATATATACATATTAATTGTAACAAAGACACTACTGTATATCTGTTGCAAATATGCCTGTGAAACATTATTTTATCTATATTTGAATCATCTATATTCTGATTTGATTATAAATTTAGTTTCATAAAAGTTATTTTCAACAAAAAAACTAAATTTACTTGCAAATGGTTTGAATATTTTTATTATTATTCTCAATGTAAACTCAAGTTTTATTTGATATCTCTTGCAGTTACAGGCTTGAGACATGAAATGTGTGAAAACAGCTAAGAATAAAATGTAGATATCAGTTAAAATGAATAAAAATAAACTGTTTGTCAGTGAGGCTATAAGAATAATGAATAATGCTGAATCAGCAAGTTTCTCCTATACTTGACAAATGTCTTCTTTCTATTAACCCTTAAAGGTGCACTACTTGAAAGAAACAATTTTTGGCCCACATCTTGGATTGAATAATATACTGACACAACTCTGATAAATATAAAGATAACCTATAATGATAACCTATGGATAAAAGGTCAACCTTTCTGCTGTTTTTATTCATAGTCATTTCTCCCATATGCAACTGAATCTGGAGTTCTAAAACAATTGAAAAATGAGTGCACTTCTGCATTGCAGTAAAGGTCAATATATTGTCTCTTGAGAACACGTGTTAAAATAAAAAAATTTGTGAGATACATAGCCTACCATTTCATTGTTGTCATGTCATTGACTCATAAACATTTCCTGCTTCTTATCAAACTATTTCATAACGATACAATTCAATCATAACTTAACATCAAAACAGCTATCATAACATTATTTATCAATGTGCGGCTCTTTTTGGATTCTCAGAAGCTAAAGAAATTAAAAATGTACCACGTTAGGACAATTGTTTTTTTTTCTGCATCTCTTAAAATGGTCAATAGATATTCTTGAAGATTCTAAATATCCTTGCACTTGCCCAGTTATTGTTTCTGACTGATGTCAAAATTGTATTCTGAGCTCAGTGAGAAGGGTGACGATGAGAAATAAAACATAAAAACACAATAAAAATGCAATATAGGCTCGGCTCAGGTAAAAAATAATGTCACTGAAGAGGAACCAGAATGAAGAAGATCAGAGAGAGACTCACCGCTCCTGACAGAACCCAGCACAGCAATCCCTCTGGTTCCAGCTGAACACACAATACACATTCAACAAGATCCCACACCAGCACTCCTCTAAACTTATTTAACTGACCGAAATCTTAGAACATTTGTTAACATTCTCAGTTTAACATCAACTCAACCCACAAAGTGTACGTGAGATTTGTATAAAAAAACACTGACTATTTTAAGACATTGTTTCGGAACTAATTGCAATAATTTTAAGGAATTAAACATTAATTTAATTCTCTTAAAAAGTAAATAATTATATGAACATCACATTTGGGTCACATCACCCCTGCTAACATGACCAAATTTCTGACGTGGAAAATGACGAATTTCAAATTCAAAAGTAAAAATATCATAATAAAGGAAAACGGGGAAAATATTTATTTAGGTATCATGTGGGCCCTCTATTATTATACCTAATAATAATTAAAATATTTTCAGTGTTTATTACCATTTAACAAGAACTGCACTGTACATACAGCTCGTGCTGCGCTAATTGACTTAACGCTGATATCAATTATTGTTTACATTTAAATGACCCTGTCACCACGGCAACTTGAGATGGTTTAAAAATCCACACAACTGTCTATAAAGTTATCAATCCTGATCATCGCGCTACAAAACTCTAAACAAATCTCCCTTTGACTGAGTTTTTTCTGTTGGTCTACTTTGGGGAATTGTTTTGGAGTTCATGATGACGCTGAGGCGCTCGAGAAGAGCCAGGACTCTCCCTGCTCACCTGAGAGACTTCCAGCTGGAGCGCGTCTCTTCCGTTGAGGAGCGCGCAGCGACGGCTAGGCCGGACACCGGCAGCTGCATGTCGGACACTTCATTGGAGGAGAAACACTTGAGAAACGCAGCTGTCCTTCCTGTCCTCCGCCCCGCAGCATCAGTCTCCTCAGTGGGTGAGTATCCACAGGAGGAGCCGATCTCCATCCACGGCCGGAGTGTGCAAGAATATCAGCACATCTTCCATAGTGTCATGGACTCAACCATGAAGAGACGCCGAGGCCGGTACAACCTTCAGTGGGGCTTGGAGATGAAGCAGCGGCTGTGGGAGAGGCTGGACCGGCCTGTACTGCTGGAGACCGTGCAGGCTGATGGACGTGTGGTCATCACGGAGAGCAGGTCTGGGTCCAGCATCCCTCCTCGGATCATGGTGGACATCAGCAAAGAGCCACTGCCCAAGGAGCCCCGAAGTAAGAAGCCCAGGCACTGAGTCACCATATAGTGCCAGATGAAAGATCAAGGGCACGTATGTACATATTGTATATATTGTATATAGTTCTAGAATAAGTTTGCAACACAACACATTTGACATTTCATTCAAGATTTCATCACATTGCTGGAGGGTTTTGGTGATTGTCAGTGCTCCTTTGGATGGTTTGCTGGATGTTGGTAGGCGTTTAGCAAGGTTTTAGGCAGTGTCTTGCGCGTTGTTGGTCTCCTCTGAGTGGTTTTTGGCACATTAGTGGTTGTTAGTGTTGGCTGTTGGGTTAGGGTAGGTTAGGGTCCCTCACACGGTTTGCAGCTTGACGTGCTGTGAGGGCTTGTGTGCATCAGTGATGCTGAGAGCTATGCCACTGGTACTTCACAGCTACCGATAGGGTCACCCATAGTGGACAGGTCTCAGCTGAGATGCCCGACCAAGACAAACCACCTGATTCTGGACAGTTGAAGATTGGCCTGATGCTCCAGACAAAAGATGTCATCTGAATCACTGGAAGAATCTTCAGCATTACAGCTTATGTGGAGTTACAGATGGACCAATGCTACTATTAGCTCTTCTCTGGAATATACACAACACACACACACACACACACACACACACAATAATAAAATCTTGCATACATTAAGAATTAAAGATTTATTAGTAAAACATTAATTACCTTAATTTAAAGAATATTTAATAATAAAAAAAACACTTTTCTTGTCTTGAAATGGGTGGGTCTTCTTTTACTAAAACACATAAATTAAATTGATTATTTTATCAAACATGTAATATTTATGGACCTGGGAAAGAATAAAATTAAGTGATCACACATCAACAAGGAATCTGTGCCCACAGAACTGCCGCTCACTGGATATTTTTTCTTCTTCTCTGTAAACCCTAGAGATAGTTGTGTGTGAAAATCCCAGTAGATCAGCAGTTTCTGAAATTCTCAGTCCAGCCTGTCTGGCACCAACAACCATGCCACGTTCAAAGTCACTTAAATCATCCCCCCCCCCCCCCCCCCCCCCCACCCCCCAATTCTGATGCTCGGTTGGAACTGCAGAAGATTGTTTTGATCATTTCAACATGCCTAAACTGAGTGGCTTCCAAGTGATTGGTGGTTGATTATAAATGCAAGTACACACACCCACCCACACCCACCCACACACACAAAATAAATATATACACATAAAATATAATGCCTTTATTTAAAATATTTAAAGATTTAATAATATATGCTTGCAATACAGATGGACAGATCTATCCCAAGTTGCAGTCTAGCACAGACGAAAAGAGAAGATATTAAAAAAAACTGTGACAGACTCAGTGTGAATTTTCCTGGAAAGATTTCTGTGTCTATTCAGACTGCCAAATAAATTAAAATGTCAAAAACAGCTTAAAACTGAAAATTATTCTAACGGTTCTGCAGACGCAATGTTCAAGCAAAACCTCTGAGAGGATAGTGACAAAACTAGAAGCCCCAAAACATCAGTTCCCAATACCACTCCTCTAGTTATCTCTTTTATAAAGAAGATTTAAGGCGTACAAACAAAAATAACTTTCTATTTGGCAGAGGGCTGTCTATGGTGGAGGAATGGGTATGAGCCAGCTTGCCTCCCAAATACATGGATGTCAGCCAAAAAACTAAAAAGAAAGCTTCAATCTGTCTACTCCATTGAGAGTCAGATGAGAAGCTTGCTAGGATTTTAATTCACATTAATAAACTTGGCTAAGTTTATCTGCTGTTTTTATAGTAATTAAAATGGATTTCATTTAGCTTGTTTCTTTGTTCTGACAGTAAATAGTGGGGTTTTTTTTATCTAAAACATATATTGCACCCCCCCCAACCCCCCCCCCCCCCCCCAAGCGTAAATACAAATATTATTTCTAAATGTTACACACTAAATTACTCTTTTAAATTATGAAATTAACCATTTATTCAAGTCATTGAAGAAAATCATCAGTTAGGAATAAATACATAATTATCATAAATGTCAAATACACCGTAACAGGTTACAATGATAGGTTCTGGAATTGTCTGAAAATCTTTGCATATATCACTTAATACATTAAGCTGTAGAACTCAACAGTCTAATCAAAGTCACTGGTTTGCAAGACAGGAATATCAGTGTTTATTATCTAGGCCTGTTCTATCTCAACAAGTACCCCATCACAGTCTTTAGGGTGGAGGAACATCACAGGTTTGCCATGAGCTCCTATCCGTGGCTCTGGGGAGAGCAGGCGGATTTTCTTTTCCTTCAAATCAACTATTGCTGCATTGATATCATCCACCTGCAATCAAATGGGCAACACAATACTTTTTAGAGAAGTTTAAGGTTCATGATAGTTCCTGTATGTTTTCTGTTAACAAGTAAACTGATTCGTTTCTAAAAAGCTTAAAAAGGTTAGAAGACACAAAACAAAAAAGACGGTTCCTGAATTTGTAATATTTTTTCTTTCTTTTTTTCTTTTATGATTACTTCCATAATTTATGTTAGTTTTATGTTGTAAAGTTGTAAATGCATGAATTAGCACATTAATTATTTAATACTGCATTCTGTTATTTCACATTCATTCTAAAAACAATTTTAAATATGCAATGTGTTTTTAACCTAGGTTATACATATCCAATGCACATTGTAAATTAGTATGATACATGACTCCAACAAGATTTTACCGGCATGTCTGTTTGCAAATTTTGAGAGAAGCCAAAAACAAGTTTCACTACTAAAAATGTATATCTGACACTTTAGTTCTTCAAAATGCAAAAAATCTTACAAATTTAGTAAACTAAAATAAAAAGCAATACATTTAATAACTGTTCTAAGGGCTGCACAATATATTGTTTCAGCATTGATACTGCAATGTGATCACTCAATAGTTTCATTGCAAGTTATGCGATGTTGAGTTTGTAATAATATAATTCATCATTTGCATGTGTTTTTGAGGCATTCAGGCATACGAAATTGTACATTTTGTAACTTTAATAATGAATTTAGAGTCACAGAAAAAGGTAACTGGTTTAAGCCTCGGCTGGGTCAGTTTGCATTTCTGTGCGAGTTTGCATGATCTCCCCGTGTTTGCATGGGTTTCCCCTGGGTGCTCGGGTTTCCCCCAGTCCAAAGATATGCGCTATAAGTGAATTGGGTAAGCTAAATTGTCTGTAAAGTATGTGTGTGAATGAGTGTGTATGGATGTTTCCTAGTACTTGGTTACAGCTGGAAGGACATCCGCTGCATAAAACATATAATGGATAAGTTGGCGGTTCATTCCACTGTGGTGACCCCAGGTTAATAAAGGGACTAAGCCGAAAAGAAAATGAATGAATGAATGAATGATGAATTTTTTAAAATAATTTTCATTTGTATTATTCAATTACTGTACCTGAATACTGCTAGACTCGGAGAAGGATAAAACACAGTTTATTTCTATTGTAAACTTTTCTTACTGTATTTATATATTGATAATGAATTTAATTTATAGAATTTATAAATAGATTTATGCTTGTAGATTGTTTATAGAGATGCACCCTACAGAATCAACCATCTTAATCTAAAATTATGAATTCTTTCCAGATAAAGATTCAAATCATCAGGTGAAATTGTATTCATATTGCAATATACAAATGGCAGAAGAGCAAAATATTGCAATGTTTGATTTCTCCAATATCATGCAGCCCTAATTGATCTATTGAAAAACGTACAGAATCAAAATCAGGGAAATGTTATGTATCTATTAAAATCTTATGAAAACAAGCAGGATTGTCACAGCAGGAAACATATCAGCCAACAAAGAAGGTTCTTTAAATATTGTAATAAAATCGGTGACCTCCAAATTATAAAGAATAGAGAACTACTGATTTGCCCTAATCTGATGTACCTCAATGCAGATATGATGCATCCCTCCAGCTTTGTTCTTCTGCAGGAATCCTGCAATAGGACTTTTCTCTCCCAGTGGGTGCAGAAGCTCTAGTTTAGTGTTGCCCAGTTCCACAAACACAGTGTACACCCCATGCTCAGGGAGAGGCACAGTGTCGCTCACTTGAGCCCCCAGCACATCACGGTACAGGGCTGTGGCTTTCTCCAGGTCTGGCACTGCGATAGCCACGTGATTCAGCCTGCCCAACTTCCACAATGACTGAGGGACACCTTGACTGACGGGACAAGTCAGAGACAGAGCCCTCACTGGGGGTAAAGTGTGCCAGGCACACCTCGATAGCCCTGTAACTGCAGTAGAGATCAGCCTCAATGTGGATGCAATAAATATAGTACGATAACAATAAATCATATTTTGGATTTCAAACATGAAAGCTGTCAGAGAGGGAGACAGATATTACAGAGACACATGCGAACTGAATAAACTCATTCACCGGAAAGATGTAGGCGCAATAAAACATCTCAGCTTACTACTATTTACCTGCAACCTTCAGTAAAGAGGAAGCCATCTTTGTGGTCGCTGAGAGAAAACTTTATTTAAAAAGAACGAAGCACGTGTTTAAATACTCGTTCTAGTTATAAACGCTAAATTAACATATTACTTATTTTTATATTTACATATAAAATGCACAACCTTTATACATAATTGTGTCATACTGTAACTCATTAAATCGCAAAAGGGACAAGTTTAACTTTCTGCGCGGAACTCAATGCAATGCCTTATGTTTCCGGGGGGTTGTGTTTACCAAGCGCACGCTCAGCGTCACCCATGTGAGTGCAGAGATGGCGACGAGGGATGGCGGCACGCTGGAAAGCTGTTTACAGTTATTAAACAGCAACACGTCACACCCGGAGCTATTTCTCAGGTTCGGTGCACATTAAATGATTTAAAAAAATTCTGAACTCGTTACAACATTTTCTTGCTTTAAAAGTTATGAAACACGTATCGGGCCACGCATGTGCAAAACGCTCACGTTGTGGTTGCCAGTTCAAATATGCTTTAAAAATGTAAATGACACAGTTATACATGTGCTGTAAATGTAAATAACACAGTTGATAATTTCTCCGTTCAGGAATGATTACCTGTGTGAGTTTTATTTTTAAACTTGAAGCTAAAATTATTCGCGTTATCAGTAGTAATTCGATAAACTAAGTTACAGCTATGTCCGGGAAGAACTTACTGTCATCTTTTCTATTTTATCTATTATAAAATATGATATATTTTATCATCTTATCTATTATTGCAGTGTCCAGGATGTTTTGGCAACAGACTTCAGATCACTTACAAAGATTCTTTATGACCTGCAAAAAGCCCACGAGCCTGCAGACTGTAAAGGAAGCCCACTGGAGCAGCTGGTGGTTGAAAACTTCGACGAGGAGCAAATTTGGCAGGAGCTGGAGCTTCAAAACAGCGCATTACTGACACACTTTGAGCAGGCAGTCGAGCAGGCGGTCACTGATGATGCTATAACATTTCTGAATGATGAAGATGATGATGTTGAAGAAGACGAAGAGGAGTTGGAGGAAGTTGATGATGAGGAAATTGCTGATAACTTGGAGCAAGGGAGTGCAGAGGAGGAGGACGATGAAGATGGAGAGGAGGAAACTACACAGAGGCTGAAACCTACAAGCAATGGGGAAGATGACTTCTCTGGCGAAGACTCCGATTTGGACTTTGATGTAGATAAATTTGAGAAACAAACCAAACAGAGACAGTCTGCTGCTGGCAAGTTAACAAAATCTAAACCGAACTGGACTCAGTCTGAAGTGGATGACACGTTTTTTAAACTGTCAGAAATGGAGGCTTTTCTGGATGACATGGATAAAAGAGAGGGAAAAGGGAATGAAGGGGAGGAAATTGATTACTTTCAGGATCTGCCGTCTGATGAAGACGATGAACTGAGCTTTGATAAACCAGTCGTGAAGAAGAAACTTAAGGTAATGGTGTTTATTTTAAGCAGCAACATACTTCTTTGTGTTATTTTGATACTTTTTATGTTTTAATTTTACAGTATTACATCAGTCTACAGGGCTCTGGTTGTTTAATATTAGGTTGTATAGATATGTTGTGTAATGCAGTGCTCAACATAATTGAGTACAACCCGTTTTGAAAATGAATATCTTTATCCATATTTATTTATCCAATAAAACAGATTTAGTAAACAGATGTATTAATTAAAATAATATTTTAGTCACCAAACATATTCAGAAATTGAAAGATAATACAATTAAGTTCAAGCATAATATAAAAAAAAATGACAAACTGCAAAATTTCAACAATTTTTTTTCCATTTTTCTGTTTCTCTTGGATTTTATTTTTTTCTCTTTTAAATTTGTATTTAATATTTTTATATAACATATAAATTTGGGTGTACTAGTAACGGAAGTTATTTTGTTAGATAAGCTCCAGATTTGGCTTCAGTACTGACTAATCTAATGTATATGCACAAATATATTATTGTATAGCCTCCTATTAAAATATGAATTTAAAAGAGAGATGTGTGAGGGGTGTACGTGTATATGCTGAGCACTGTGAATTTCAGTATTGATTTATTTAGAATACTTTGTGCTATGATGATGTATTTTGTAAAACTCACAATGGGATTTGGTTTTCAGAATAAAAGCTCCAGAAATATGAAATACAAAGATTTCTTTGCACCTGTGGACGGAGAGCCTGACCCCATTCCAGATGAAGAAAAAGAGCTGGAATCGAATGATGATTATGAGGGAGAAGAACAAGATGATGATGAACTAGAGGAGGAATATGAAGAGGATATGAATGAGGAGGATTTTGATATGGAGAGGTAAGTCATGAGGATACCTGCTGTCTGTTTGTGTGATATTTGTGTTACCATAATGTGTTAAAGCAAGCCTACCTCATAATGCTGATCTAATGTTTGCCTGTTCACTTAGGGATGATGATGATATAGGTGACAAAGTGAGAGATGGTTCACGCAGGGTGACCTTTGACCTTCCTGATGACAGTGAGGGTGAAGATGTAGAAGACATTCTAGGTGGAAAAGCAAAAGATGTGCCTAAACCTGAGTCTAAGTCATCATTTGAAAAGCGACAGGAAAAGGTTTGCTTTATACTAGGCCTGTCATGATTTACAACAAATATATGCAATAAATTACTTCTGTTTTGTGTTGTTTACAGTCCAGCGTTGTTGTACGGCTTCATATAATGTTGAATGATTGTGATTAGATTGAATGACCATTATTAGATGAGTAACCAAAAATTGCGACTTTAAACCTTAAATGAAAAAATATTTCCTCTTTTTTTTTCCTGTAAACTTGAAAGTGTATTTGATAGTGTTGTTTTATGATTGTTTATTCATATATTTTGTACATTTTCAAAACAAGCTTTTATTATTGTATTTAGTTAATTTTTGGTTTAATTTATATACAGTTAAAGACATGATCAAAAGATGTTTAACATGGCAAGGTAATTTCTGACATTATTTCCCATTCTATTTTTCCATTTTTATAACTTTTTTTTATTTAAGAAAGAAAAGGAAAACAGAACAAAATGGTTATCATAGTGGTCACAGTATTAAATCTCAATCCATTTAATGCACCTTGTTTACAATGCCATACTCAGTTTCATCTTTTCTTAAATCAAGTGTTTAGGGCTTTATTGTCATTCTGCTACATGTGGGGACATACAGAGGAATGTAATGTCATGCCTCACAGGACAATGGTGTTACACAATTAATCATTAATACAAACACAACACTGGAGATAAGAGCTTTTTTTTTTTAAACAATGCATTACTAACATATACTGTAAGATACTTAACTACTAAGTACATTTACATGAGTTAAACATTCAAATTTTCTTTGTTTTATTTTGGCTGGAATAAAAAAAATGGCAAAGGTTAATATTACTAGCTGCTTGCATTTTTTTTCCACAATTTCCTACAGAAGTTGTGCAATAACCTGTCTGTTTAACCCAGCTTGCCTAGTAAACCTAATTAGCCTAGTTTAGACTTTAAATTTCACTTTATGCTGAATACTAGTATCCTGCAAAAGCACTAGTGAAATGGTATGTACTCTCATCATGGCAATGACTAAATAAATAAGTTATAAGAAATTGTTAACTTTTATGTTAAAAAATGTTTGCAAAAATATTTGTTAATCATCTCTTGGGAGATATTTGAAATAAAAGTGAGATTAGAATATATAATTTTAATTAAATTTTATTTATCATGTTTTATTTATTTTTAGTAACTTAAATCTATTTGGACAAAAACAGCTTCTGATAAATGACAAAAGCGTCTGCTAAATGTAAATGTATTTCAGACAATTCAGCTAATATTTCTTTTTATTTTTTCAGCTTTTTCAAAGGAATAATTGATGATTTTTAGTCGTCAGCCATAACCCTGATTTGCCATCAATATGTGCAGATGGTGAAGCAGATTGAAGAGCTGGAAAATGCTGCGTTGTCAGAGAAGCCGTGGCAGCTGTCAGGAGAGGTGACTGCTCAGACTCGACCAGAGAACAGCATGCTGGAAGAGGACATAGCCTTTGATCAGGCCTCTCGAATGGGTGAGAGCTTTACTCGGGCGTTCACAGCAGAAAGCAAACAAATCTAAGCATACTATCAGTGCATGACTTGCTTTCTCTCCTCCACAGCTCCTGCAATCACTGAGGAAACTACCTTACAACTTGAGGATATCATCAAACAGAGAATCAAAGATCAGGTTTGTATACAACTTTAGAAAATAGTGGAAAATAATTAGTACATTTAATGCAGATTGTCCTTTTTAAATAAATACAACCTCAAATGATTTTCTTCTTCATGAATAAGATCATGTCTCTCACCGTATCTGATCAGTTTTTGTTGTGTTTGTTTGTCTCAGGTGTGGGATGATGTGGTCAGGAAAGAGAAGCCTAAAGAAGAGGTGTTTGAGTATAAGAAGAGACTCACTCTGGATCATGAGAAGAGCAAACTGAGTCTGGCTGAGGTTTATGAGCAGGAGTATATCAAGCAGACACAGGTGAGCTCAGTGGATCATATCATTTCCTGTCTGTAAGGAATATTTCTGAAGGTAAAATGAAATTTCTACCATTTTTTTATTTGTTCCAAAATTAAAACAGAGTTTTGTTGTTCTGTTGAAAACAAAAGTAGATATTTTAAAGAAAGCTAGATACCTGTTGCCATTAGCTTCCATAGTATTTGTTGTTCTTACTATGGAAGTTAATGTTTTCATGTTAAAGGTTTCAGCTTTTTTCATAACCAAATCAAAGAAAGAACTAAAAGGTTTGGAACTGCTTTAGTGTGAGTAAATTTTCATTTTTTGTGGAACAATCTCGGTGAATATGATTATAGGGAAGGGAAAAGGGCTTTTCATGCATTAAAATGATAAGTGTAATACTGCTTCATTAGATTTTGTCTTTGCAAAAAACATGTCTATTCTAAAGCCCTTTACAGTAGTTTATATACCAAACATCTTGTCAGGCCTGTTAAGAACAAGAATAATTTGATAACATGATAAATAAAACTCAATTTAAGTATCACAGAGCAGCTCTGAAATACTGATTTTAAATCTTAATTGCAACTTATCCTTCACATTTTCAAAGTTTGGAGCCATTTGTTGTGTTTTTTTATAATTCAGAGATGGAAAAATCAGTATGATTCAGTTCTTTAATTGAAAAAGTGTAGGTCAGAATAAGAATAGTTTCTTTTAAATATGTTATGCTGAATAAAAATGAAAATATAAAAGTAGACACTGTTTATTGTGTCTTATTTGTATATGAATTATTTAATTTGGACACAGAAACAGGCATATTGTCTTTAAAGCATGTACATATTCAGTTGTACATACAAAGTTTTGGAAAAATACAAGTCTAATATTTTGGAATATTGTTAATGCCTGTTTTCTCTTAAAATAGTTTGAAATGTAGTTGATTACTGTAGTTGAATTATATATTTCTTTTTTTTTATTTTGGTTATTTATTTCTTGCATGTTTAGTTTTATGTGATCCTTTAGAAAGGATTTGATGATTAAATCAAATGTAATATGCTGATTTAGTGCTATTATTTTTAATTTTCTTATTTTTATTCTGCTTATTTTTGTATAAACTAATGCTTTTTTCTTATTATTATTGCTACTATTTTAAAGTGGATATTTCAGCAAAACAGCTTGTCTTTGAAATTGTCACCTTTTTGGCTTTACTGTCAGTTAACATTCTTCCAAACAGAGTTTTTTGTCTTGTAATATAAAATGAACATGTATTCATTACGTTTTTACTTGTGCTTCAGGAAAAGAAGGAAGAGGAGGAGAACCCAGCACATGTAGAAATCCAGAAACTCATGGACTCGCTTTTCCTCAAACTGGATGCGCTATCAAACTTCCACTTCACTCCAAAACCAGTAAGTACAATTGAAGGGGAATAATTTTGAAGTTGCAGTTGGTAGTATTAGTACTGAGTGGTATTTATGTAATCATTCGCAAAATTCATCTCTCTTGTTCAAATAAGTCACTAAACATCTCGTGCTTTTTCCTCTGTTTAGCATGTTCCTGAAGTCAAAGTGGTTTCCAACTTGCCAACTATTACTATGGAGGAAGTGGCTCCGGTCAATGTCAGTGATGCCACTCTGCTGGCTCCAGAGGAGATTAAGGTTTGTGTGATCGCACAACTTCAGGAAAAAGTTTGCTTTGTGGTAATTCTGTGAAACTTTTACAAACGGATCTCCACGACGCGTCAATACCTTTTATTTCTTATCTCAGGAGAAGAATAAGGCAGGAGACATTCTCGGGGACACAGAGAAAACCACTACAGATAAGAAACGAGAGAGACGGAAGAAGAAGAAATTGAAGCGTCTGAAGATTCACGAGCGAGAGAAGAGACAGAAACTCAAAGAGGCTGCAAGAGGAGGAGCAGATGACGGCAAGAAAAAGAAGAGTAAAGCTGAAGTTGAACAGACCATCAAGAAACTGACTAAAGGAGGAAAAGCCAAAGTGCTGACGGTCAGTGACGAATGTTCAAGTTGAATGCAGTTTTTGTTTGTTTTTCCTCTGTTTTTAAACTGTTTTTCTGTGCTTTTCTACAGAACGATGGGATGGATAAGGCCTTGCGGTCTTCTCAGGCCTTCTTCTCTCAACTACAAGACCAAGTCCGAAGTCAAGTCAAGGGCTCAAAGGACCAGACGGGGAAGAAGAAGAAGAAACAAAAAGAGATTTCTGTGAACAAACTCAAGCTGTAATGTTATAAACCTGTGTCAAAAGCAATATGTACAGTTTTATGAGAAATCTAATGTTATGACTTGTTGTTTTTATTCAAATACACACCTCTTTTACTGATATATTTGAGTTTTGGACTGTATTTAAAAGTACTCGCATCAATAATTGTTAAATAGCTTTTTATGTGCTCATAAGGAACTTTGAGTGGTATAGAATTTAATTGTTCATCAATCTTCCATTACAAGTATATTTAATGGTAACACAAAGTATTGATACAAAATATCAAATCAAGGGGCAGCTGTAAATAAACGTTGCCTGAGCTTCTCACAACTCAACCGTTGCATTAGTTTTCTAGAATGTTTATACTAAAACCTAAAAATAACAATGAATATTGATTGTGATAGAAAGGTATGTTTGTATTATATATAAAAGGGGCAGTTCATCTAAAAATGTACTCTCACTTCAAACCTGTGAGTTTGTTTTTTATGTTAGCACAAAAGATATTTTGAAGAATGTTAGAGGACAGTAACCATTGACTTTCATAGTCATACTCAATGAAAACTCAAACAGGGTTGTGACACGTGAAGGGCGAGTAAATGACAGATTCGCTTTAAGGATAAATAAATGAATGTCAAATTCTTAAAGTCATACCATATTAGTGTCTGCATCAAGTTTCCCATCATTACTCCATAGCAGATATATTTGTGTAAATGTGAAACCACATACTTTTTCAGACATTACAATAACTAAATATACAATCATACCACATTTTATAATAATAATGTGCAAAGAATCATGGGTAAAACCATTAAACCCTAAAGTACAGTTAGTTAGTATTGGCTGGTCCTTAAAAGGATAGTTTAGCCAACCAACCTTTATGCATTTCCTTTTTCTGTTGAAAATATATTTTAAAGAATGTTACAAATCTGTCACGATTGAGCTTTACAGCAGGGAAAACAAATAATTTGATTACCGGTTTTCAGCATTTTTAAAAAATAACTTTTCAACAAAAGAAAAACCCAGCGTCATGGTGGCGCAGTGAGAACTTCCTTACAGCAAAAAGGTCACTGATTTGAGCCCCGGCTGGGTCATTTGGCATTCCTGTGTGGAGTTGGCATGTTCTCTCCATGTTGGCATGGGCTTTCTCCAGGTGCTTCGGTTTCCTCCACAGTTCAAAGACATGCGCTGTAGGTGAATTGAATGAACTAAATTGGCCGTAGTGTGTGTGAAAGAATCGTGTATGGGTATTTCCCAGTGTTGGGTTGTGGCTGGAAGGGCGACCCCAGACTAATAAAGGAATTAAGCCAAAAAGAAAATAAATGAATGAAAAAGAAAAAACCCAAACATGTATTGAGTAAATGCTGAAAGAATTTTCCTTTTTTTTGGTGAATTCTTCCTTAAGCGTAAACAAATAAAATTTAAAGATATTCTTCAGAATATCTTCATTAGTGTTCAACAGAAAAAAGCATAAACATTAAGAACCACTGAGTGTGTGTAAATGGTCCTGAAATGTTCATATTTGTCTGAGCTATTTCTTTAAGCAGAGTCTTCCAACACGTCATTAAATGATGCTTCTCTATTTTCTAAACATGTCTGTTTGCCTTTATGCTATATAAACTATTGCCACTGAATGCCATCTTCTGTAAACATGGTGATACAATGATTCTCAACGAAAAAATAGAATAAAAACCAGGACACATTCTAATGTATGAAAAAGCTGTATTACACCTTTACTACAGTGATGCAGTACACTCATGACCCAAATATACATTCAGTTAGTCATAGCACTAAGTGGTCAGAAGAGGGCATTGCTATTGAGTGTACCGATTTAAAATGTTTTTCTTGTACACACAGGTTGTGCTAAACCTAAATGAATAAACTAATAAGATTTGAATGAAGCTGATTTCTTAAATTCTTAAGCCAAAGTTGACGCCCTGAAGAATAAAACACACACAGCCTTCCAGTCAAATAGGGCAATTGTTTTTATTTGCTTGAAAATCTGAAGAGCCAGATTTTGCATATTGCTAGCTCACAAACAAACCAAAGTAACCTTTATTAAAACGCAACAGTCCAACATCTGATTCATTTCCACACAAAGCTTTGGAATTAGTCAGCATTGTTCATTTACACACCAATGAAAAACTCCCACCATGAGCTATGAAGTTTCTTCTTTTTTAATATCCAGAAAAACAACAGGTTCACTGCAGTTCAGAGGCCGAAACAAGGCACAGAGGATTTGTACAATATCCCTGTTTTAGTTTCTTTGCATAACTGAATAAATATCAGTGCTGTTTGACAAGTCAAACCGTGCTGTTACAAACAAACACAGTTGTCATACTCATGACAGCATTCTCGGTAAACTACACTCTTACTGTGCATTACTTCAGACTAGGGAATCAGGGAAAACGGGCGAGTACCAGATCTAGGAGAAAACAAACTATAATTTGTTCTGAATAAAATAAAAATGTGATCCCCAACCACAAATAAAAGAAAATCAATAATGTGTAAAGGCTACATATCAAACCAACATCATTATCACGGCTGCACTATTAAAATAACTCTGAATAACTAAAGCAAAAGTTCACAGGTGCAGCAGCACTATTTCCTCAACTGAAAATGTCTTATCTGACACTCAGATGCTATTTAAAATGCCGACTGCTTCGCTTCTCATCAAATCAACCAGCTGATTGGCTCGAGCAGCTGTCAGTCATTTTCAAACAACCAATGCTGTGCTTCAAAGAGAGAGCGAGCGCGGTTCCAGCCCGCCTGACAGACGCCCGTATGTGCTCAGTTATTGCCTGCTGTGGGGTTTACGCTGATAAACCCTGTCCGCTCCTATATCAAGTTTCACAATTTTGGTTACTGATTTTAATAAAGCTAGCTACAGTTAGACCTTGCCAGAAGGCTTCAAGAAATCTTAAATCTATGAAAAGATATGTACATTTTACAGATTTCATTTACAGTTCTGTGATAATGCCTTATAATGAGGATCAGTTTGTTCATTAATTAATGCATTAGCTGTCAGGAACATGCATTTAATGGTCATTCTTTAATTGTATTCAATGGGGTATTTGCACATGGAGTTATAATTTCAGTCAGCCAGCAACGGGGCTTCCGGTGAATTGTCATCCCATACAAAATCGATCCATTTAAGATCTGATTTCTACCAAACTAGCTAAATTTACTAACAATATTTCCCCTTTTATTATTTAATATTTCCACATTTTGTACTCAACATGATGAAACACTAAATCATTTATTTTGGTAGTGCACTTAGTGTAGTTTTTTGGGTTGACCTCCAATTTCATAAGGAAAATACTTTCTTTTCTTTCTCATTCTCTTGTATTTTCCCAAAAGTTGTAATCTTTGCTTAATCTCTTAAATTAGATCCTTCTCATTGTCATTTTATAATGAATTTATTGCTTTTTTTTTGGCTAAATTTTACATTCATAAATGTAAATCTTAAAAAAAACACCTTTACTTTTTATTTTCAGAAAGGACTTTGATTTATATGTGAAGACTCTAACAATTATACTGCATGTAAAACTCTTTCTTGGTGTAAATCAGTTAAACCTGTTTAATTTGCTGGAATTGTATTTATGTACCCTGTTTGTCTCTTTGTTCATACTGTATCTTTGTAATGTTCTTTCTTGCATACTAAAAATGAATTTTACCCCAGTATTTTCAATGGAGTTGTTTCCGCTAGCCTGCAGCTAATGACGGCACCTACCTTTAAATGTATTTTGGTCTCTTTTACGCTTTAACAACCAAATGGATGCTTAAGTGTATTTAACTGATTGTATTTTATTCGCATTACAACATCCATGCTGGAAAAGGAAGCTTATTTAATTGAAAATAGTCACATTAAGCTTTCACCAGAAGTTCATTACTGGCTGAAAAACACAAGCTCTGCATATTGTTCGTTCGAGTTTTAAGTTGTGTTAACATTATTGAATGTGTTGCGGATAAAAATGAATTCAAATTGTTTAAATTAACAATTTGGCATCGGCAAGACTTTTTTTTAAGAAAATAAATCACAATTTCATTTTCAATTTAAAGCATCCTTGCTAATTTAAAATGAATGTTTTCACAAATTCTCAAAGGATTTGCATTCTAAATATATGTGATCCCTCTGAACTTTATATTAGCCAAAAAGTCCAGAAAGAAATGCATTGTTTTTAACCAACATTAAGCAGTTTAACCATTTACAACATTGATAATCATACCAAATAAACCAAATGTGCATTTTAGACTGATTTCTGAAGGATCATGTCATGCTGAAGTTGCTATCACAGGAATAAACAGAATAAAATTCATTTAAATGAATGTAAAAGTTGTAAAAACATTTGAAATGTGAAATGTACATACTAATTTGTGTTCTATAAACCATTTATAGTTTGTTCATGATAGCTAATGCTTTATCTAATGTAAACAAACTGAACCATAAATATGCAAAGCATTACCGGTTTACCTTCCTTTCCATCTAATGCCACAAACTCTACAAGGAAAATAAAATCCACCACAACACAGGTAGAACAGATCCAAACAATCCCAAGTCAGAAAGATGTGCGATTGGAGCATTATATTTAATCATGTGCAAGAATAAAAAAAAAATTAAAAAAACCTCACCAGCCGACGGCTCTCAACAGACTGAATAAAAACGTGTCCGTACCACAAGCCTGCACATTCACATCACGCAAGATCTTCATGTTGATCCACTTTCAGATGGTCTCATTGGCCAGCGTCTCTGTAGAGAGCCAGATCTTGGCCCCGTTGAGAAACTTGCTCAGAGGAGTCCCCAAAATGCCGGGCCGACACAGATTGCCCACAGGAGAGAAGGGAAACGAGGAGCTGAGGTATTCTGGAGGAGCAGGGCACTGCTGAGGAGTGGAAGTGGCCTTAAAGTACATTTTGCTGTGCTCCGCGTGGGATGTGTTAGCAGTCCCGGCTGCTCCTTTGTACTGCCTCAGCTGATTCTGGAGCATTTCGATCTCGTCTGTGAGCACTGAGAGCTTGTGGAAGGCAGTGACAGGCCCGCCGTGTGGGATCTGGGCCTCGGGGACCCAGCGTAGGAAGTACAGCTTCCAGACGGAGAGGTGAGATGGGAGGAGCTGGGGGAGCAGCAGGCCTTGCAGATCGACAGCCCGAGAAAAGAAGTCCCGAACGAAGCGCTCTGACGGAGTCTCCGGCTGCTCCCGCACCTGAGACAAGTCAGAACGCAGACGCAGCACAAGAGAGTTTCGGCGGGTCAGGGTGTCGTTCGGCCCAAGAGATCCATTGCGCATGAGTGAAGGCAAACCGCGCACAGTGGAACTGTAGTTTTTCTGGGAGAGAAGCAAAAAAAAATGTTTATACTCCTCGTTTCAATTTGCATTCTGCTATCATTGTTTATAATACAACCAAATCATCTGCATATTGACTACTGAATATAGAGTATAAATCTGAGTTAATGATTCTTAAAGGGGCAGTTCAAGCTAAATATCTCATTAATATTTACTTACACTCCAGTGGTTCTAAACTGTCTTTCTTCTGTTAAACACAATACAAGATATTTTGAAGAATGTTGTCAAAAAAGCAGCCGGACTTTCAGTTATGAGTGTAGTCGAATGCTCCGCTTGCTCCTGCAGTTTCACTTATAATCGTCTAACTAGACATCGTTATTTGCAGTTATAGGGTTATTGACAGCTTTCAGAACTTATTGCAGTTAATTTAATTGCTCTGCCATGTCAAAAGCCAAAGGAAAATATCAGAAAAAGACAAGGAACTTTCGTTAACATCTAGCATAACAATGGCTGACATTAGCACAATCCTGAAGGCCCTGTTGAGCGATGTCTTCATTTGAGTCACTCGCTTCAACATTGGATAGCATCAATTCCACTGTTAACGATGAAGGCAATGTATTGGCTCTCTGGCAGCAAATGCCAATCTCGTTGACCAGCGACTGCAGCAGTTTCAAGAAACCTGCTTTAAAAAGCAGCCATTGACTTAAATAGAAACATAAAAATACTATGGAATCAATAGCTGTTTACTCCTGCATTCTTCAGTATATCTTTCATTGGGTTGAACAAAAGAAAGAAACTCAAACAAGGTTTGAGTGGAGGAGAATTTTTATTTTTGGGTGAACTATCTCTTTAAGACCTGTAAATTAAAAAAAAAAAAAAAGGTGGTGAGTAAAATTCACAAATGATTGCAAATTTGATAATTGTCCTTACAATACTGATTTGTGCATTGGTCAAAAAAAGTTGTCAGTAGAAGACAATAATGGAACAGCAGAAATATAACTGTTCCCCAGAGTTTGCTGGTGATATAACCACTATAAGGTAAATCCTGGCATAAGTCATAAGTAGACCAGACTTTTACATTATGGCATTTTGTAAATATCTTTTTCAATCACCAAATTAAACCTTTTATGAACCCTTTATGAGCGTTTCTTGTACCATTTACGAAATGTTATGACATCAAATATGCTAAAACTGAATGACAACTCAAATCTTACATTTCTGTGTGTTTGTAGTTGTCTGATTTTGTGACGTATGTGGATACAAAAATGTATAATGACATTGGTCTGACACGGGTATTACAAACAGATCTTGATTCATGAGTAAATAGCAACATGTTTCTCTTTTTCAAAAGACTAATAAAAAATACAGAAATTACAGAGTTTTATTGAGAAAATAAAACTGCAGAATGTTTTTAGTGATGATTAGGTGATGTTTGTACAGTATTAAAACAGTTGTGCCAATGGAATGTCCCCAAAATTCACAAAAACAAAAGTGTGTGTATGTGTGCGGCATGCAATAAATGACTTCTTCCTAAAATAGCAATGACTGACACTGTGGTAACCACAGCAACAATCTGCAATCTGGTGTGTTTATTATGCACAACACTGATATTAGCAACCAAACACTCATTATGTTAAAGCAGACCGCCAGTGCAGTGACAGAACTGTAGTGTTTTGTGGTTGTAGGGTTTTTTAGCAGAACATGCTGTTGCCATGTCCACTTTTGCTTTTCACTTAGGCTTAGCTTGATGCTATAAAATACCCAGTAAATAGTAAATAAAGTCTCATTTTCATTCACCTCACATACAAAAGTCAGACACATCCATGGTCGAATACATCATTAACAACTAGTTTTTTTAACTGAGTTACATACACACTTCCTAGAACTCTTCTAAATGTGGTTGTTAGTAATTGAATGAGGATGTCACTCTTCTTTGGTATAAAAAGGATTAAGCACACAAATGTGAACTGACAACTGAAATATGCTGTGGTGTGGCCACAGGGAGCTCACCTTGCTGCGCCTGTGTGTGAAGGTCTTCACTGTGCCGTTCTGCAAACAGGTGGCGATCTTGCCCACGTACAGGGGATTATTAAAAAGAGTCTGGTCTTTGAGGCTGAACTGTTGAGACCAGTCCCACACTGGAGGAAAACGCAGAGCCTGGTCCTGCCCCAGGTGAATACTTTTACTGCTTGCAAAATCCTACAGAGAGAAAGCGGATGACAAACGAACCAAACCAGTCTAAATGTATATATTAAGACAGCCAATAATGAAACAATTATCATTAATGCTTAAAAGAATATGTAACATAGACAATACAAGTGGAAATTAGAGTACATATTTGCAGGTTATGTTTACTACTAAACTCTTTAAAGGGGTAGTTCCGTCATTATTTGCTCACCATACTCAATTTCTAAACCTGTTTAACCTTTTTTTTCTGTTTAACACAAAGAAAGATATAAAAAATAATGTTGGAAAGCAAAACGTTCTATATTCTATAATATATACAGTAGGTAAGGAGAGTTTTCAAACTCCCTTAAAGTTTTCACTCTGTGATATATTGCAGCCATTAGCTAAAATCCTTTAAGGTCATTTTTTCCTCATTAATTTACACACAGCACCCCATATTGACAGAAAAACACAGAATTGTTGACATTTTGCAGACTTATTAAACATGAAAAACTGAAATATCACATGGTCCTAAGTATTCAGACCCTTTGTTTTGACACTCATATATTTAACTCAGTCCATTTCTTCTGATCACCCTTCCTAGAGCTGGCCGTCTGGGGCAGAAAAGCATTGGTGAGAGAGGTAAAGAAGAACCCAAAGACCAGTACTGTGGCTGAGCTCCAGAGATGCAGTCGGGAAATGGGAGAAAGTTGTAAAAAGTTAACCTTCATTGCAGCCCTCCACCAGTCGGGGCTTTATGGTAGAGTGGCCTGACACATGAAACCCTGCATAGAGTTTGCTAAAAAAACAAGCTCAAGATGGTGAGAAATAAGATTCTCTGATCTGAGGAGACCAAGATAGAGCTTTTTGCCATTAATTATAAGCGGTATGTGTGGAGAAAACCAGGCACTGCTCATCACCTGTCCAATAAAGTCTCAACAGTGAAGCATGGTGGTGGCAGCATCATGCTGAGGGTGTGTTTTTCAGCTGCATGGACAGGACGACTGGTTGCAATCGAGAGAAAGATGAATGCGGCCAAGTACAGGGATATCCTGGAGGAAAACCTTCTCCAGAGGGCTCAGGACCTTAGACTGGGCCGAAGGTTTACCTTCCAACATGACAATGACCCTAAGCACACAGCTAAAATAACTGTGGCTTCACAACAACTCTGTGACTGTTCTTCAATGGCCTAGCCAGAGCCCTGACTTAAATATTACTAGTCCTTATTATTCAGACTCTTTGCTTAATTGGGTTTAAGTTTTTCTTTTATTAATAAATCTGCAAAATGTCCACAACTCTGTGTTTTTCTGTCAATATGGAGTGCTGTGTGTAAATGAATGAGGAAAAAACACCTTAAATAATTTAACAATAGTACAAAATAATATAACAAAATTTAGTAGTACAAATTTTTAAAAATTTAAGGGGGTCTGAATACTTTCCATACCTATTCTATTTCTTACTCTTTCTACGGATGTCAATGGCTGCTGGTTTACAACATTGATTGAGGGATTTTGTATAGGAGAAAATTGCAAATAGTAAACAATTTTGAATATATTTTTATATTTATATATTTATAGCTACTTTTTAACTTATGGTAGAATTATATTAATGTTGTATTACCAAACACTTTTGCCGCCATTTAAGGTCAGGGACAGGTTAATGAAATCATTAAGTTTAAAAAGAGTTAACTGTTTGGAGTATGATCAATGGCGTTATTAGTTACAGATGTAATTACATGTAGACGTATTTTTAAATACAAGTACAATGTAAACACATGCATGTGCACAGTAAGTGCATTTTTATACGATGATGAATTAATCAGCAAACAAAGATGGTATATGATGGAATAAAGCTGTAATGTAATTCTATAAAAAGAATTGTCAAAAAATAAGCATCTAACCCTGCTGTGCTCTGCTCTTTGTCGCGGGCAGTTAAAGAGGAAGGTGCTGAAAACAGGGACCCACATACTGTCCCCCAACACCGTCAGGTAGACCTCAGTGAACTCAAACGCTGCTGGATACTGATTCCACAGCTGCCACACACAGTCCAGGAACAGCAGAAACAAAGGAGACTGCAGAGAGAAATAAAACACCTTGAGTTCACACATCTGAAAGCCCCTTTATAGATGAAGAAATATGATGCTGAAATACATTTGATATACAGTATATATGCGCTGCACTACCTCCTCTTTATCACTCTTCTTCAGATGGTTGCAGCGATCCAGGAAACGATGCCCAGCCATCACCCACTCCTTTTGAATCAGAGCCTGGAAGCCATGCAGACTCCTGCAGTGTGGATCACACATCAGCTGCACCAGACTGGAAATCACACAGCTCAGGTCCCGGTCCTCCTTCTCTGCACATGCAAACACATATAGACAAAATAAGACTTAAACGGATTACATGTTTGTCTTTAAGTAAATTCACTCAGTTATGAAATGTCTGTCATCATTCCCTCATGTCATTCCATGGTTAAACTAAGATATTTTAAATAAACACTGAGAAGTTGCAAGTACAAGTAACTAAAATATTTATCATATACATCATAAATGTGTGTGTACAAAGTGCTTCTTACCAAGGAGTATGACAGACACATGCCTGCTCTCAAGCATATAGACTACCTCCACTGCGTGCCGCAAAAATGTCCTGTTAAACGAAAAACATACCACAACAATCTCAAAACTGTTGAGGCCTAAATAAACACCTAAGCATGCAAAAACAGAAACCATTTCTGGCAGAAGCTACTACTGAACACTCCTCAATCATACCTGACGTACTCCATCCATCTTGAACTCTCTAAGGATGACAGCCATTTCTCTTCAGACTCCTCAAATGACTCTGCATATTTATACAAAAGTGAGCAAAAAGGCACATTAGAGCCAGAGTGAGGCAGGAGGCAAAAAACATATGATTACACCATCAGACTGCTTAGCTCTTTTGGAACATTGTATAGACCTAAGCTATGTTTTAAAAGTGTATTTCCAGCTAACATGTTTTCAATGGCACCAGGAAACAGTATGGGGGATTCCTGAAATAACCAAAAACATTCCTGGCCCTTACTGTAGCCCAGTGTTAAGCCTGAGAGGATTTCCTACAGTTAAAGTCTTATTTAGTTGAGTGTGTGCCGCAGTCTTTCCTTCTCCAAAAGTGTATTGATTACCTATAACGCAGATCTGTCGCAGTTTAAGAAGAGCAGCTTGAATATCCTGGATGTTGGGGAGGTTTTTGTCTAAATCCGACTTGAAGACATCACTGCGCAGTGGGTGGCTCTTAGTGATGGCACTGGAAATCCTGCAGAAATAGAAAAGTTTTAACCACTGCTTACTAAATAATAAAATACAGACTCTGACATCCGGCATCTATGGGTCTGAGCAGATTTGGCATGCCTACTAGGCTCAAAAGCCAAAAGATCTGAGATGAGCAAGCAAAGATAATCACAACATGGCAACATTTTCAACAGCAGAGAAATAATATTTGGGAAAATAACTCTCGAGAGTGCTTCATCAAATATATGTATTTTTAGAAAAGAATTATTACTGCTTTATTTAAGAAACACTTAAACAAAACACTACAGTTAAAGAGTTGTTTTACCATTCTTTTATCCATTCAGCCAATCCCTTTTAGCTTAGCATAAATCATTGAATCGGATTAGACCATTAGCATCTCACTCAAAAAAGTCCAAAGAGTTTTAATAATTTTCCAATTTAATTCTAGACTCTTCTGTAATTACATTGTGTACTAAGAAAGATAAGCAATCTTCTAGGGCAGGGATTCTCAACTGGTGGGCCAAATAGAGAGCTTCAGCTATACTGCAGGTGGGCCGAGAGATAGATTAAAATCAACTCTCAATATTATAGTATAATTTTAGAATTTCATCATTAATAGCTATATTAAAATGGTTGAAGTAATGCACATTCTCCTGTTCTCTGATTGCTTACTGTGCGTCTGCAACTTGTACACGTTAGTCTGTTCATTCACAAACTACGCTTGAAGTCAAAGGGAAAGTCTCTCTTTGCGTGAACTATTTAACATATCCACATAGTTGTCCAAATTAATGTCATGTGAGTGTTTCATAACGGACACGTTTTCATAACGGAGGCTCAATGATGTTTCTGCCATAGAATGTAAAATAAACTTGTATATGAGCTTCAGACGTGCTCTGGTTGATGCGTTTAACTGTATTTTACATTTGTCTGTATATTTTTGAATAGTAGATATCAAATAGTTTATAATAAGTCAGTCTAGTTTAAAGCAGAAGCTGGTCTTTTGCAATCTCCCTGTTGACCTGTGGTTCTCTTTGAACCTGTGTTTTTTATTCTATATAATTTTTTGTTTTGTTTTAATATATTTAATATATATTTCATAGCTTTAGTTATAAATATATATATATATATATATATATATATATATATAAATATATATAAATATATATTTATTTATTTATTTAAATTTAATTATATTTTTTAAAATTGAATATCAGTAATAGAAAATAACAGAAGGCGAAAACAAAAATAAAGGTTTAAACGACCATTTCATACAAACATTTTAAAGAAAATGTCAGATGAGTGGGCCTTCAAAAATTTAAAGAATAAGAAGTGGGCCCAAAAGAAGACAAAAGTTGAGAACCCCTGTTCTAGGGCTAGTAACTAAACTCTTATTATGGCATAGTAATCAAGGGCTGCAGCAGTCGCAATGATATTACGCAGTGTCTAAAAATGGGCTAACTTCCATCAACATAACTAAGCTGGGGATTATTTTCAGGTGCTGCATAAATATCAATACACAAAATTAATGTATTATCAAGCCATAATGAGAGTATAGTTCCTATATATATAGGCCTATAAAAAATAGCTGTTTTTCATTTTCTGTCAGCTTGTCACAATGTAAGTACAGAAGGATCAAGCTTTAAATGGGAAAATTATCTAAACTCATTGGTCATTTTTCAGTAAGATGCTAATGGTCTAATCTGATTCAATGATGTATGCTAAGCTAAGCTAAAAGTGCTCTCACCAGACCCAGAGATCAACTGAATAAATTTAAAAAGGATAATAACTGTTTAACTCTGGGAGAGTTGTAAAAAGTTTCAATCAATCGATCAATCATACATACATACATACATACACACACATTTGCATGTATGTATATATTGTATGTATGCATGTACTGTATGTATAGTTTTCCTTTAAACACGTCTGACCAAATCTGCTTGCCTTAATCACCCTCTTATTCTGTTTCTTACCTCTGCTCCACTTTTCTCTGTTGTTGCGGGTCACTGATGTTAGACATGCGAACCAGAGCACTTCCACAGGGGTGATTCCAGCACCACAACTGCAAAACCAAACAAGTAATTTTCAAATGGTAGATATAAAACTACTCAAAGTACATTCATCTACCAGGAAAATATGGATAGATTATGTACAGATGTTATTTCTATTTTGCAAAGTTCTAAACCAAGACACTAACTGATGACTTCCTCTCTGAGTGAGTGTAAAAAAGACTGGGCGAGTAAAAGTGATTTGTGGATTTCCTCCCCTCTCACTCCATAAACCAATATAGCAGCCCAGTAAACGGTGCTTACCGGGATGCGCTGCGAGTAAAAGCAGCAGGCGTACTGCTTCAGATCCTGATCCGCTAGAGAGACCGGAACCACAAAGAACTCAGGTAGACTGCAAACAACAGAAAACAATTCAAGTTCAATTCCCAATCCAGGCTTATAAGAAAAGATATGTGCCTGTGTGTAACATTTTTACAAAAGCACATTAAGTTACTTATTGTGTCTTTGGTTTTGTTTTGGGGGTTTGTGGCCAAATCTCTCAATGTTTTATTTATGCATGTGTGGCATTAATAGTGTAAAGTGTTGAAAAATAACATATACCTACTCTAAATCTAAGGAATGAAGCAACCGTGCAGTTTTACCATGTTTTTACTTTGGTCAAACCGTATTGGCTCTAAGTGCAAATTATCAAACAAAGTTTATGTTGCAGATGCATATGTTGGAGATCGAAATGTCATGTAGACATAATAATATACGTTTAAAAAGCATGCACTACGGTAATACTGTATCTATGTTGTCATAAACATTTGTTGTTGCTTTCCTGCCTGTAGAGTTTATTTCAGCTGTGAACATCAGCAATCTGTATGTTTAGGTGCATTTTTGCAAAACAAATGTTGGTCGAGGCACATTTTTCCATCGAGCCTGGGCAGAAAAAGCACAATCAAATGTGCGACGCTTCTTTGTGTTAGTATTATAAACACAATGACCTGATACTGAACTGCATGTGGATCTGAGAGATCAGTGATTTCATTCCAGAGGATTATTCCAGAGTGCACAACATTCCTGTCTGTCTGAGCAGATTAATACAGACCTGTCTAATTTAATCAGTTATCCTCATTTCATCAGGAGATTTATTAATTAGTATGACTAATCCATGTTCATGTTAACAATAGCCATTTATACTGTGCATACTCATGACTGCGTTTCTGTCACATTTACTCATTATATAAGTCACACAGCGGTGATTTTCAGCCTAAGATGCCTCTGATACAAGCGGTTTACAAAACAGATGACAATTGACATGTAAACTGACCTGGGTGAGATGAAATAGCCTTGATTGATGGTACACACCCTCCATTCAGAGGCACCGGTACGCTTGATCTCCCTGTCCCAATCTGAAGAACAGTCAAACAGGGGAGTCTGCAAACCCCCGCCAGGGTCAACACCATTCACCCGCTCACCTAAACAAACCAAACACGTACACTCTGAAACCACAGCAAAGGGGTGATAATTCATGAGGGCTGGACAGTTGAGAAAGCTGCAGGTGGATTACTGAGATTTTGTTTTATTCCTACTCTAAAAAATGATGACTTTTTTTTACACGTCATTATAATCAAAAATTACAATAAAATAATAATTGTATTTCTAAATTCAAAAATACACAATTATGTTATAATAATAATAAACATTTAACCCATGTGTATATGTTAGTGGCTGTTTTTACCCCATTGACTTTGATTATAAAGACATTTTTTGATTGTAAAGCCATGCTATTCTTGATTGTTGGTGATCTTCCCTATTGGAAAGAGGTCAAATTTGTAATTTTTACTTTTGATAAAATAAAAAATAATAAAATTTTTAAAATCTGTTTCTAAAAAAATATTAAATAAATAAATAAATAAAATCGCTATTTGAACTTTTTTTTACACAAAAAAAAACTGTTTACACAAAAATATTAAGCAGCCTAAATTTTCTCAACATCAATTTTAATAAAACAAATTTACAAGAAATGCCAAAACAAAGTTTTTACTACGTACAAGCTGTCTTGGTAAACATAGGTGATTCTTGATTTTTTTTTTCTATTTTACTTCTCATGGACCACAGACATAATTCAGTGTGTATATAAAAAAATAAAAATATAAATAAAGTGTATATACACTCCCAGTCAAAAGTTTGGGGCCAGTTTTTTTCATGTTTTTATTTTTTAAGAGAATTATTCTGTTCATTAATGCGGCATTTATTAAATGTAAAAAAAATAATAATTTTTAAATATTTATTATAATTTTAAATAACTGCTTTCTTATTTTATGTAGTTATAAATTATTTTATTACTCCAGATATTGTTGCTTTTTATGATTCCTATAACCATTATTGATTCCCTTAGTAATATATATATATATATATATATATATATATATATATATATATATATATATATTATAAGTATAAATATGTAAACCATTATCTGACAGAAAAATCCTTAGTTTAGAATTAATATATACATAAACTCAAATAAAATAGATCACATTTGTATTGTAGTTTTGATTAAATGAATGCAGCCTTGGTGGTCAGAATAAGCTTATTTTAAAACATTTAAAAATTCAACTGACCCCAAACTTTCAATCGGTAGTGTACATATTTTTTAAATCAGCTTATATTGAAAAGTAGGAAGTATGTTTCTAAGGTGCACTACATTCTGTCATTTCTTAAAACTACATGCTACTGTGCAATTCAATAATACCAGCCATATCAATCTTAATAAAGGCTCTGCTATTCATAACACAAGCACTTTGCATTCTCCACTAAGTCCCGTCATGTCTCGACTTGCAGGGAGGCAGAATGTATGGACAGCTCAACTCAATTTGGCAGCTCTTGTGGAAACAGAGCAAATCATTTTGCGGTCACAGTTGACTCTGTTTTCTTACCCGCTGATCCATGATATCGCTTTCCGACGTATTCAAAGCCAAAGAGTAGCTGTGGGTCAGCAGGATGGGAGTAATGAGCGATGGCCAGACATACCTGTGGAAGAACATCATACAAGCACATGACTACCAAAAAAAAAAGACCTTTCTGACTATAACTGTAATGACTGTAATCTTTTAAGAAACAGAACTGGAATTTAATGACGGTGAACAATGATTCCTTCTTCTTTCCTCTCACAATACAACCATTTTGACAATTACTAACAAACGGTTTGTGGTCCAATTTACCCTTGCAAATACCAAATCCTCTATTACAAACGAGAAATGCAGTCTCTCTTTGGAAGGGAAAATTAACCTGTGCTTAAATAATCTGTAAAGAACTGACATTTCTGCCACATGACACTGGAAAACACCACCTGAACAGCTTGATTTAAATTCTGGGCACTACCACTGCTAGTAAAGGCCTGCACTTGGGCGATATCCCACTGGTGCAGTTTGTGATTTTTTTCCCCTCTTTTATCTGCTTTCCTGCAACACCTGTTGGTCAGTTCCCCTGTTTATTCATTCAGAAGAGCTTTTCTTGGCACTGCGTTAGATCCAGGCATGGAAATATTCAAAACACTGTGTTCAGAGCTCAATCTAGACTGGACTTTAACCTTTAAGACATAATAAACAAACACTTTTTCTTGTTGTAGCTTACATTTATTGCGAGTGTTGTATATCTTGCTAGTGTAGAACGAGTAAAATAGGGTAAACAAACGTACTTTTTATTGTGCCTTTCATTTTAATGTATATCTAACTTGTATAGAAATAAAAAGCAAATGAACATATTTTGCACAGAAATTATATATCTAAATTGTATAGAAACACCTAAAAAATGAAAAGTTGGTATAATTTTCTTACCCTTAAGTTCAAAAAACATAATATTTAAAAGAAACCTTTCAGGTTTTTTAACAAAAAAATCTTGTTTCATGCTATATGCATAGAAAATTCGCAAAGAATGAAAAGTATTAAGATCCTGGTGGTTGGATGCTGATTTTCAGCTGTCCACCTTTATTTTATGGTAAATGGAAAATAAGTCGATCTAAGTAATCAAGCTATTCCAAGTATGCACCTGTGGTAAATCTCATAATGCCAATCCTACTATTACCACCACCATTCAGGAGAATCAATTTACATTGGCTGAGTTTCCACGCATTTATATGATGTTGAACACAGGTGTACCCACCCACCCTTCAGGTCATCTGTCATAATATTCTACATTTTTGCTTTTCCTTTGCAGTTTGAATAGCCCTAAATCTCACATATTCGACAAATAACCTTGCTTTGTTAATATCTACAATTAATAATAAAAATAAAAGAAGATATTTTGAAGAATGTTAGAAAGACAAAGAAATACTATGGATGTTATTGGTTACAGGTTTCCAGCATTCATTAAAATATCTTATTTTGTGTTAAACAGAAGAAAAAACATACAACATACAAACAACATTTTCCATGGATTCCTAATTCCTTATATACTTTTCTTCAGTTCACTTCATGATTATTTCTATAGCGCTTTTACAATGTAGATTGTGTCAAAGCAGCATAAGAAGTTCTAGTAAATTGGATCTGTGTCAGTCCCGTTTTCAGAGTTGAAGTTTAGTTTAGTTCAGTTCAGTGTGGTTTATTTTCACTGCGGAGTTCAAACACTGAAGGTCAAATTTATCTAAGCTCCAAAAGTCCCAAAACCAAGCAAGCCAGTGGCTTCCTTTACATTGTAAAGACGTTTGAGCCAAACGCAAGAAAAAGTATCCATCATCCTGACACGATAAAACTCAGGGAGTCCCTTAGATTTAATACAACAGCAGACAATACAACTATTTAAAGATTATCTACTGATCAACATTTACATGAAGCCTAAAAATTAAAACATAGCCAAAAAAATGCAAGTTCATCCTTTGTACATGTACTTGTAAAGTGTATTCTGCTATCTGATATAATATAACATATATTATTACTGGACATAAGTATGGTGCTTAACAGATTACAAGAAAAATAACTATTTTATTTTCAGTTTAGGGATACATATTCGCTCATTTTCATCTCATGTGCAGTAAAATAATATTATTCAGTCTAAAATTAGGCAATGAGGTTTCTCCTTTAAATTACATCAAATGTAAAGGATGGGATCTGATTGGCTTGCTTTCTGATTTATTGGATGAGACAGAAAATGTTGTGAAACTGTGATTTCCGTAATATCATTTTTCTATGCAGTTCCTGTTACAGCTGTGGTAAAGACTTCCCTATTCAATATGACTTCAATTATAGGATTGTCATCTTTTTGTTTATTTCCACAAAACAGCTGAAAACAAGCTCTAGTTCTGAAGTCTAAAATAAGTTGTTCACATAAACAATATGTTTTTGCATTTCACTACACTGATTTTTTAACTGGTCTAATTAGCCACGCTAAAACGATACTGTGTGTTATAAAAATCCAACTTTTAAAAACAGCTTTTTTGCTGGTTTTTAATTCCTAAGACCTGTGTTTTGCTTTTTAACTGAAAAAAATGTAATCCCACAAATGGGCTTTTTAAACAAAGATTTTGAAGCATGTATTGTTATTATTGGTCAAAAAGCAGTTTTAAAGGCATAGTTCAACCAAAAGCAAACAAAATTAGTCATAATTTACTGTCTCTTCACTTGCACCAAACTAATTTAGGTTCTTTCTTCTGTTGAACACAAAATAAGATATTTTGAAGAATGCTGGACACCTGTAACTATTTTTTGTGAACAATTGTTTTCATTATTTCAGTTTTTGTTTAATATAACAAATATTATTGTTTAATATTTGTTTTAAAAGCATACAGCATATGACTATATCGCAAAACAAGAAACCTGTAACTATTGAATTCCATAGTATTTGTCTTTCTAACATTCTTCAAAATATCTTCTTTTATTCTAACAGGAGAAAAAAAACTCATAAATGTTTATAACAACTTGAGTGTAGGGAACAGTGATTACATTTTCATTTTGGGGTGAACTATCCCTTTAAGATGCTTATTTACCAGTAGTATTTTGCTACGGAGATTAATGCAGGAAGACTTGTTGGAAATTAACAGTGATTTTTACAGAGACTAATGGCACAACAGACATGTGAAGTGTTTCCTTTGCAAAATAATTTTTATCTTTAATTTCTATTGCTTATAAAAAACAGTGTATTTAATTCTGCTCAGTTAGTAACCTAGCTAATTAAGAAATGACCCATTAGAACCTAAAAGCACATACAAATAAAAGTTCCTCCTTCACAATACAAATACAATGAAAATCAATACAAATATATTTCACAACATGTTATTTAGTTTACTCTTCATCTATTCTTAGATGAGATCTGGAGATAATAGACCCCCAGAGCATTGGATTCCGTTTGGGCTCCTTCATAAGCAGCGGAATATAAATAAGCGGTGCACGTTGCAACGGCTGTCAAGGAAACGCACTCTACTTGCCCTTCACGCAAGCGCCATAGTTTAACGTTCACTAGCAATGAGGAACAAAAGCGTCAGAAAAGCTCTATAACGGAACTTCAGGATAAATGCGCATGTTTGCTAAGCGCTCAGAAAGTGAAAGGGGCTTTTTGTTCATCTTGTTTTTTGTGGTGCTTTTCTTGCACCCTTTCTCCCCCTTCCTTCACACATTCTCAGGAGCTGGCAGACTGTTTAGAGCTGAACTCTGGCACCTCTTTTTTCTTCTTTCACTCTTTTTACTTCTATATGTCCAGTTATTCCCCTTGGAGTTTGGGTTCTGTTTTTGCTAGGCTACTACAGGTGAAATGTTCTGCTTCCCTCACAGTCTTTTTCCCCATTACAAAAAGGAAAATTCCCATTTCTGCTGTCAAAAACAAAAACAGTACTCAGTGCAGCCTTTGAGATTCGAGTGACTCATAAATGATGACTTACAATCATTCCGAAGATGCTGTGGAAAGCGTTCATTTCTCTGAGTCATGCCACAGGAATGGGCGATCAGGGCTCATTATGCTGTAGGAATGACAAACAGAAGGTCGTTCTCCGCTTCTGATAGTCTTTGAGTCAGGAGCACATTGTGGAATGTTCGTTTTACACAAAGTTCCATGTTACCAGGCAACAGCAGCTGTTGTGAAGCAACAGGATGGGTTTGTAGGCCGGTGTGAGTCACAGAGCTTGGAGTTCAACGCATGATCAGATCGGCTTGTATAAAGAGCTCTTTTTATCTGCTTTATGGTGCAGATATATAACAAGAGGGAGAGACATTCCTCAGCAGAACATGCTTTATTTTATGAGGCAGAAAGCCTCTGATGGTTTTGGTGGAAACTGCTAAACAATCCAGCAGGCTTCACTGCAGTGCAAGTTTTGCAGTGCCTTTTATAATTGTGGGAAAAGTAAATGGGAAAAAAATTAGAGAATGCACTAAATGTACAAAAAAGATGCTCTATTCAACTTTGTGTACTGTAATATATAAATAAACATATGTAGATGTATATATCTTCTTCATATGTTTACACCAGGGGTGCCAAAACATTTTCTTATGAAGGGCCAAAAACCAAACTTAACTGGGCTGTGGGCCGAAGGTACATTTAAGTTTCTATGCGTAATCTCCAAATTTATTTCCTAATATTTAAAAATAACTAGAAAACATTGCTTTAAATTATATTAACAAATGAAGTATATTAAAAAACATAAACAATCCCATTAATACAATGGAGTTCAATGCTGAATACACTAAGCTGGACCTGCCTTTGCCTTGATTTGCTTATTGATGTCTTGTGCTTTAACTGATATCCGTCGAGTGGCAGTATTTATGTTTTTGTTTTTTATCTGATGAATATGCAAAACTAAAGAAATTAAAATACAAATAAACAAACGGTTACAATAGATTCAAAATGACAATATTTTTCAAAGACATTCGCCCTTACCACAATGCCATCCTTCTACCTCTCTTTTCAAATTGAATGGTGGGCCAAATCAAAGGTTAGAATGGGCCAAATTTGGGCATCTCTGGTTTCGACAGAGGAGCACTTGGTCTCCTGGATAAACCATTGACTTGCTCCTTTGAGGTCAGCAGAGCCCTACAGTCAATTACATCCATCAGCAATGGCAGTCATATTGCACTAATCTGAATCATCAATGATTCAAACTGGAACCAGTATTGGTTGTTTTACAATGATAAAATCATGTACTAGATTTTTCTGTTATTGCATCTTCATCCCAATAAGCTGCTTTGACTCAATCTGCATTGTGTAAAGCACAAGAAAATTAAAAGTGACTTCCTAAATTGGTGCCCTGATTAAAACTTATTACAGAGAAATTGCCTCTTTGCACAGTACATATTTTTCAGCCAGCAATAAGCTTCAGGTGGAAAGTTTACGTGACTATTTTCAATTTCATAAGGTTCATTTTATTGCATCAGTAATGAAACTTAATTAAAATATAATAATATAAATAGACTTTGGCATTAGATAGATTGAGACATGGCATGGAACAATGTTATTTAATGCAGTGCTGCATGTGTGGTGTGATAACAACTTCATATCGTATCTTCAAAAAGGCAGTAAAGATCATTAATTTTACACAAATGTGGTGATTTTATAATGACATGACAGTTTACCGGAAGTGCATAAGCTGGCTTACACACAATTAAAATTTCTCATGCATATCGTCCACTGCGATGCCTTGTGTGAACAAATAAATACAACTTGTGATGAAATGACTATGCATTCACTGCAAAAAATGGTTTATTTGTCTTCTAGTCGAGCAAAAAAATATTGTTTTGTTTTTAGAAATCATGTCTAAATTAAATTGATTAATGAGTTTTCATTAATAACAAGCTAAATAATCTGCCAATGGGGTGAGCAAAATAACCTTATGTCTAAATGAAAAGATTATTTTTTTGTTTAGCAGATTGTTTAGCTTGCTTTGAAAAAACTCACATAATTGTGGCATTTCATTTCTGAAAACAAAACAATAGTTGCTAAGAAAATGCTTATTGCAATCAAAAGTTTCTTTATTTAGGATTTTTTAGATATTTGAACTAGAAACGAGACAAAATAATCTAAGTAGAAAAGCATTTTTTTGTGTATAAGAAAGCATATTGGAGTACAATACTTTAGCAGGCTTTAGATCAGGACACATGTTGACAAGTTAGAACCATACTTCCAATGCTTATTAAGCGATCACCACCAGACATCGAATAGAAAACAAACATCTAAACATTTTGCAGTGTCAATGATTTGGAGAGAGCCAACAGAACATACCAGCTGCTATCACAGTGAAGCAGTGAGCGATGGGCGATTTCACCAGCACATTGTACACCAGTAATACCTGACTCCTATGAATGCAATCCCTCCACAAACCCATGTCAACAAAAGAACATTGGGCCAAAACAGTTCTAATTAATTAAATCAGTTAAATTATTCTAGCCCCCTATGTTTAAAGCAAACTTTGCGACACTACAAAAGAAAAGAACAAACTGCAGATATAAAAAGATAATGTGATTAGATGCGAACAAACTAACCAGAGGACCAACCTAATTGCACACCATCTCACATGTCCTTTTAATATTTCTACATGAGCAGTCATCCCTCATCAAAACCAATTGTGTATAATTACCTCCCACCACAGTCTAACAAAATTGCATTCCCAAACATCAGGTATCTGCCTCTGAACACAGGATAACAGCAGTGTTTGTTTTTGCAAATGTCATCTGCGCCCTCTGAAACCCAGCTTATTTATTATTTAAGAAAAAAAAGAAACTCAGGCTTCCCCAGTTGCAGCAACTTTTATTTTTTATATTAATACTATGCACCAGTTCCCCAGGAAGTAACTATTCTACATGTGATGGAAACACTATTTCCAATTCCAATTTTGTGCAACTTTGGATGTTTTCAGCAAGCTTGAACTAAATTCTCAATTTTTTTTACATTAATTAGTTTTCCACTCCACAAAAGGTTGGGATGATGTGAGGGTGGGTTTTCAGTAGAATTTACATTTTTTGGTAAAACATAACCTATTTATTCTAGGGGTGTAACGGATCACGGTTAATCTGTGGTTTGTATGAATCACAACCTGCAGCTTGGAACACACATGGCCTGCAAGTCAATGCATTTTTTTTTACTGATAGATTGATCCTAAGTTTATAATGATCACAGAGAGATCGCCTCTCACGTCATTCAAATCACATGTTTGAAAGCATTTAGGCTTTCCTGTAAAATTTAATGATGACAAAAGAAGTTGTGGTAGGTTCGGGATGTGGGAGGTTTCTCAGGTTATTAAAGGTGTTTTCTGTCACTACTTGTTTAGCCTGCATCAATGCATTTAGTGCAAGCGGCACTATTAATCATTAAAAGATCTGGATCTCAACACATACACAACATAAATTATAAATGACGGTGATTAGCAAGTGTTTATTAATCCTTCGAATTGCTGCCTTCAAATCAGTGTTTGAATAACGCAAAAAATCAAGAAACAGATTGAGTCTTTAGTCTTTTGAGTAAGTTATGAAGTTAAAAACAGTAAAATAACACAGAAGTACTGGAATAACAGTTTATAGTTTAGATAAAACCACTGATGTTTATGGTAAAGATTAAAATCACTTTCATATGCATTTAACAATGCTCAAAAATAAAAGTTGTAGGCAGCAATTACATTATTTAACCCAATAAGTGGTAAAAACCAGCCATCAAAAATATGCCTCTTAATAATTCTTCAAAAGGACACATCTAGCAATGAAATATGAAGTTTTTTAAGTGAATAAATCAATCATTAGTTGAAAATAAGACTAAAAATGAATATGGGTTGTACAAATTATAATATTAGATTTATATATTTAGCATCATCAGCAACAGTAGTAGTAACAGTGAATTTTTCACAGTACTGAATATTTTACAATTTATTTTTATTCAGCTGATTATTTCTTCATTTTATTTTTGGTAAATTACAGGTTCTAAGTTCTGTTTGTTAAAATCAAAAGTGTCTTGTAGTGCTGTTTTTGTAATAAATGCAAAGCAAATTTTATTTTTCTCCCCCCTTTTTGGCTAATCCAAACAAATGGTCCAATCTGTGACTAAAAAACATTATGTGATCCAAACCGTGAAATTTGTGACCCGTTACACCACTGATTTATACCCAACCAATAAAAGGAAATAACAAAAATGATTCTGGATATTTTGAATAATATCACATTTATAACATATGCACCATTCAGTGTCTTATGGGTAAGAGAATTTAAAGCTGAAAGAGATGAACATGGCTCTTCACTACACCTTGTCATTACAGGTCTGCAGTAGGATCAGTGTCCATCAGACAAATAAGGTGGTTGAAAGCAATGCTGTCTAGGTGAACAGACGACTATAATCTCCTCATCCTACAACCCCTCAGTAGGGAAGGGGAGATGACTAGAGACTTCCTGAAACACCACAGGCCTATTTCTAGGAAATGTTTCTTAAGTAGGACACTGACAAATATGATCAAGGCTAAATGGTTGCATAATACAGACATACACATAGAGATGCAGAGCACAGACTGAATTTAATACAATTAATAATTCCAATTCGTTCTAGGACTGGGCCAAAAAACACGCAGGAGTATCACATACTTGTTTATTTCAAGGCAAAAAAAAGAACACACACACCAGTCTTCAGCAAGGGGATGCAGTCAAACCCATTAGCTCTTAATCTTTTCTCAGACTAATCCAAAGCTCTTGAAACGTGGAGGTGTGTGAGCATGTGCGGGAGTATGTTTGGGTTAGTTAGTTCATTTATATGTTTGTTTTACCTTTTTAGCGCTCTCAGGTCCAGCTTCATCAAAGCGGAATCGGATGATCCGGAAGTCTTTGCAGTAGAGAATAAGCTCAGTAGGGTTAAATTTCAGCTTCTGGTTGGATCCTAAGATCTTCTGCTTCCCTTTAACATCATTCACTATTAAAACAAGCACACATAACAGGGTTATTACAATTTTATATTACTGTGGCAATTAGAAAGAGGAATAATGGGGGAGAAGAGAAGTATAAATGACACGAGGCAGAACAGAGCTACTCTCAATTTCTACAGCATTATACGTCAGAGAATGCATGCTTACAAGTTCGTCGATCTCACTACTGGATAGTGCATGTGCTTGTGAGTGGAGGAGTATAATCTGTATTATGTGTAGTCTGTGTTACATAATATCCAGACAAACAGCCTGAAGGCTCATGGAATCAAGACCAATTCTAACACGATAAACATAAAAAATAAATAAATAAGGGCAGCATGGTGGCGCAGTGAATAACAAATGGCCTCAGAGCAAGAATGATGCTAGTTCGAGCCCCGGCTGGGTCAGTTGGCATTTCTGTGTGAAGTTTGCATGTTCTCCCCGTGTTCGCGTGGGTTTCCTCTGGGTGCTCCGCTTTCCCCCACAGTCCAAAAACATGTGGTATAGGTGAATTGGTTAGCTAAAATTGTCTTTGTCTGTATGAGAGTGAATGAGAATGTATGGATGTTTCCCAGTGATGGGTTGCAGCTGAAAGGGCATCTGCTGCGTAAAACATATGCTGGATAAGTTGACGGTTCATTCCGCTGTCTCAACCCTCAGAATAATAAAGAGACGAAGATGAATGAATATATATATATATATATATATATATAATTTTTTTACATTTATAATTTTTTTATAAAGAATTATTAATAAAATAAAGTCCCCCTTCCGTAAAGTAACTACCAAAGAATACAGAAGTGGTAACTAAGACTCCTCTGTTCTAGAGAACCTGACTCTATAAAATTAAAGTTCCACTAATACACAGAAAGAAGAAGTGCTCATTTGATATTATTTTATGTTACAAACAAAGCAATATGGCCCACACATTTGTTACTTGGTAAACTAGCCTAAATAGTAAACTGTTATTTGATTAAATAAATGCTTTCAAAACACACTATAAAGAAACTACTATGATCATTTGTAATATTTATATTAGTTATAATGCTTTAGGTTTCATGAACAAGTTTTTACATAAAGGGCCTATATAACGAACTAAAACTCCACAGAGAGAGAAAAGTGTTTTAACAGGTGGTTTGTCAAGCCCACTCATTTGTGTGAAGCACACTTCATAAATGCATTTTTTGTAGGTAAGTGTCTGGTGCAAATGTGCAAAACTGCTGCAAGTGTCGGTTAAAGTGTCCGAAAGATGAAAGAGTGTTTTCTACAGGTGGTTTATCAAGTCCACTCACCCATGTAAGACACACTTAGTTTTTATGGTTTAAAAGATGTACTTTAAAACCTGGGGTACCCAAACCTTTTCTGATGACAGGTAAAAAACCAAACTTGATTGAGGCTAGTGGGTCAGAGGTAAATATAGTTGCAATGGGTAATTTCCTAATTTATTTAATATTATTTAAAAATTACTAGAAAGCATTGCTTTATATTAATTAATACATTATTTTTTACATTTGATAATGAACTTAAAAAACAAAACAATCTAATTTATAACAGAGTTACACTAGTTTTTGCCTTGATTTGCTTGCCGATGTCTTCTGCACCCGGTCAGTACCTGGATGGGAGGCCACATGGGAAAGCTAGGTTGCTGCCGGAAGTGGTGTTAGTGAGACCAGCAGATCTGTGTGGGTCCTAATGCCCAAGTATATTGGGGACTCTATACTGCTCAGTGAGCATAGTCTTTCGGATGAGACATTAAATTGAGGTCCTAACTCTGTGTTCGTTAAAAATCCCAGGATGTCCTTCGAAAGAGTAGGTGTTTTTGGACCTGCATCCTGGCCAAATTTGAAAACCTCGGACCATCATGGCCTCCTAACCAACCCCTATATCATAACTCTGTCTTCTCTCCACCAACAAGCTGGTGTGTGGTGTGCGGTCTGGTTCAATATGTCTGCAGCCACGTCATCCAGATGGATGCTGCACACTGGTGGTGGATGAGGAGATTCCCCCCAAAAATGTGTAAAGCGCTTTGACTGTCTAGAGAAATCGCTATATAAATGTAAGGAATTATTATTATTATTAATTGAAACATTTCATTTCAGTTTGCTATTTTGTAGCTCATTAAATAAAAAAAATAAAAAAAGGTTACGTCAAATTAAAAATCATGATCTCTGGCTGCGTCCGAAGCTGCATACTTCCAAACTATATAGTACGCTAAAATCAGTATTCGAGCCGATTAGTACGTCTGAAGTCATAGAATTCGAAAATCAGTGCGCGAGAAGTAATCGGATGATTAACTACTTCCGGCAAGATTCTGGAGTGCGCATCCCATGCACGCTCTGCTATCCCATAATGCCCCGTGAGAGAATTCATGAATGTGAATTGCAACTGACACAGGTAGGTCATGTGACCATGACAAAATGGTGGATGTAGTACGTCCGAATTCCTTTCATACTGCTCACGTTCATACTGTATAGAACATACTTTTCTAACGGCCGAGTAGTACATTTAAATTCAAATGCAGTACTGAGTAGTCGGCGGTTTCGGACGCAGCCTCTGTGTTAAAGGCAATTGCCCCAACCCTCTCGATCATTCTCACTCTCCCGACAGATGGGATAGTGTGCCAAATAAAAGGTTACAATGGGCCAACTTTGGCCCACGGGCCTTACTTTGGGAATCTCTAATCTAAATGATGCAAGTAAGAGATAAGCTGTAATTATGTGCATTAAATGTGTAGTTAAGGAAAGTGTTTGTATGGAAAGTAAAAGTAAATTAGATTTTTCTTGAATGTGACGGCAGATATTTCAATGCACCATATAAGCAGACAAGGCCTGCTGGATGTGCTTCAAACTTAGCTTTCAGTGCTGTTATTAATACAGCATAGACAGCCTTCAAGGGCACTATCCCAGACTGCAGGGGTCACTCTGCGTGCCTTACTGACAGACTGAAGCCTCAAAGAGCATACAGTGTGTTTTTTTCCAAGCCTGAATGTCTTATAAAGGTCTTTTGTTGAAGCCACACTGACAGACAGTTTGAAAAAAGGGGAGGAAAGCAGGCTTCATGCTCTATCTGTTTAGCACAGCAATTCAACACTTGGGGGGCTAAGTCAGCAATGAGGGGAGTGCAAGGATCTAACACAAACAAGATTAATCGTGGCCGGGCTCAGGCTGCAGTCTGGCTGGATGAGCTCATCTGCAGCTAAAGCTAAAAACAGCCACCCAAACAGGTTCTGCAGCTATAAGCTACACTCTCACTACAGACCGCATCGCTCATGGAAAAATCCAAGCAAAGTCATTTGGGTTACAGTCATTCATCAGGGACACATTATCCGTATTGTTATGTTAATACAAATGTTGGAGCAGTTTAACAAAAAGGAAAACGGGAACAGACACACAAGCAGAGATCAAACTAAGAATTGAGGTAGAAAGACAGATGGAGAACAACCAAAGTTTAAAAAATGAAAACCAGTGACTGTGTAAAAAAACATTTGCAGGCAGTGAAGCAGAGGAGACAGGAGCGAATGACAAGGATAACACGCAAGCAGACTTTCTATAGTGGGACGCCTTAAAACATTTTCATTTCAGCTATTAAAAGAATATAAGCATGGCTGGAGTTTCAAAGAGCACCGTTTCTCAATAGGGTCTGTGGAGCCCTGGGCGCTCGTCTCAAATATCCAGGTCATCCGTGGAAAATTTCTGATCGCAAATGTGGAAAACTGAGAACTAAGACCTCACTGCAATGCCATGTAATATATGATGTCAAGCATAACAATGATAGCTCACTTTTTCAGGAAATTGGTTTATGGAACTTTTTTATCTTTCAACTGTGTAACAAACATCCTACACATTACCACAGGTTGCAAATCTTTTTTAATGCAACCTTCATCATATGTTGTTTTCCAGATTTCCCTTTTTTGCTTCTATTTATTATTGTGCACATGGATCAAAGATGACATATCCCACTTTGGTGTCATATCATATTAAATAAAAGTAAAGTGTCTAAGTTAATGTTTCAAATAATCATTGTTAAAATTAAATACGGGTGAAATTATGTTCCAAGGCTATTCAGTGTAACAGATAAATAGAAGTGGGGGAAAGGAGTGTTCAACATGTCACCATTTTTCTCAGAAAAAATATTTCTAAAGGTGCTGTTGACTTCACAAGATGTGAGTAAAAACCAAAAAAAAAAAAACCATATTTGCAAAGAAAACAATATTAATTAGTTTACAAATTAGGTTATGTGTAATAAAATAAAATGACACAGGAAAAAAGTACTGAGCACATGAAGAAAGGGAGGTGTACAAAGGCATCGAAAGCCCAGACAGCGGCTGAAATCTATCAGTAGTTATTCAGCAACCCTCTGCCCTGTCACAATAAATTAATATTAGCTGATTCAGCCCAACATTTACATTCCCAAGATGATGAAGATGAAATCCGGGTGGACGTTTCACAAGACAATGATCCAAAACACAGCCAAGGAAACTCTCAAATGCTTTCAGAGAAAGAAAATCAAGCCTTATAATGGCCTAGCCAATCACCCTTGAATCCAATATAAAATACATATTAAAGTTCAGATTTGGTAGACAAGACCCACAGAACCATTAAGACTTTTACACTCTTCTGAAATCTATTTAATATCACACCTGAACAATGCATGACTTTTTTCTCCATATGAGAGGCGTCTTTAAGCTGCCATCACGAAAAAAAAAGCCTTTTATATAAAGTATTAGATACATTTCAGTAACTCAGTACATCATCCTTGTGTCATTCTCTTGTTATTATTACATATGTTATTTTCAGATTATTTTTGTTTTGTTATATTTTTATGTTTGTATTGTTTGGTTTTAACAAAATCTGGTTCAATTACATGTCAACAGGTCCTTTAGTATATTTGTTCCCAGAAAAAAAAACATGAATCCTTCAATAATTTCCTCCACTTTCCTCCTAAAACAGAATGTTTTAATTTCATTAAATTAATCTTATTCGGAACACAAAAAGAGTGTAAATAAACTATTAGAGCTATTACACATTTTAGATAGTGTCTAATTTAAATCATGGTAAAACTGTATGAAGTGTGATGAAAAAATCTCTATTGCACTTTTAATTCTTATAGCTTCAGTTTGAATGACAGTGCAACCTATGATCGAAATAAAAATGTATTAAAATCATACTTTAGGGGAATTAATAACTATTCGCATAGATCAAAATGTAAACCAAATTTCTATTGCGTTTAACATGAACCTGTTAGCGGGTGTGAGAAAACAGCTTCACTCATAGTATTCACAATGCTTTATGCATGTGGGAGCATCCAATAACAGTTTGGGTATATGAAAGGGATCCTTGTTTCAAAAAAGAATTCAAGAAATCCTGCCACAGAACTATTTAATCAAGCTGTAATACTTTCCTCTATATTATGCACACACTAGAGCTTACATGCAACGCTGATCTCTGACAGTCATTTTATTCATAGAGTCCAGTCATTCAAAAAGTTCTGAAGAAGCAGGTGGTCTGCAGGTGTAAGGAAGAGTGAAAGAGTGTTTACATGCTGTTAAATTACCTGTTACTACCTGCTCCACACAAGCCAGCGGGATATCATGCTCACCCAGAAGCCGGTGGGTACACTGAAATCTCTGCACACAATAAAAAAGAGACAATGATCATTCCTTATTCATTGGCTTTCAATTCATTTCATTGACATTATGCTGTAAGGAGAAGCTCACAAGCTATGAATGGCCTGATGGATAAACAAGTGCAGTGAGTGAGTGACCCGTATCAACATTGTAGCATTGTAATAATTGACTTTCTTTCCTAGTAAATCAGATGATGATGAGTGGACTGGGGGAGATTATTAACTTGTTTAACTTGTTTATAGGTAGTAGTCACTGTACAGGTAAATAGCTGATTTCACAGCTCTGGAAAGGAACTTTGTATTCTTTCACATGACATGACCTGAAACAAGGACTGAAATTTAGTTCCCTGCTTATATGCCACTTTCATCTAAGCAAGTAGAGATTAGTAGACAAGACATTAATAAAAACACAACTGCATTATACAGTAAAATGACAAAACTGTAAACTAATTCACAGGGATGACAATGAACATATTGACAATAAACCTGTGAGTCGAGAGGTGTTCTTGTAGCAGTGTTGTCATGAAAGCAGAGTAGCGTACAATCAGCTGGAACAATTAAACTACTGTGTATAGACCATTTCAATGTGGTAATGTCATTGCATCAGATTTTGTCAACTGTAACGAGGCAATTCAATCATATTTTCACGTTAAAACAGCTATCATAACATTATTTATCAATATGTGGACCTTTCTGGATTTTCGGAAGCAATAGAAATTAAAAATGTAAAACAGGAAATACGTTAGGACCATTGTTATTGTTTACATTTCTCAAAATGGTCTATACAAATGTTCTGTCTGTGCATTATTTGAGCAGACTTTGTCCAATGAGCATGTGTGGTTCATACATAGATTAGTATACATGTACATGATTGGATTTTCAAGATTTGTCCTGGAATTTCCAGACATTTCACCACATTTCACACAAGCTAATTACACATTTCCTTAGCACAATACATTGAAACAATTGGGTTTCATAGAACAGCACTTTTTGCATCTGGTGTGAAAGCCAGTTTAGATTAAAAGAAGGAGATTAAAACCAGCACGCTAAATTAGTGTTGTCATGATATGGAAATTTCATTATCAATCTGTGAAAAACACCGCTAACATTTAAGCCCTGTTGAGCGCATACTTTAACACAGCTGATTTGCCATTGTGTTGACGATCAATCGAGTCATCAGTGGATCACTCGTACTGTACGTCAGCCCATAGACAGATCAGTTTGATCTTTGTGGCTTTAAAATGCTCAAATGTCCCGGTATCTGTGTTTGCACTCGGTAAACTGAGGTGAAGTGCAATTAACTGATGACCATCACGGCCAACCACAGTCATTTCTGTTGAGCATGTAAAAGCAATTGCAAATCAGTGGTGTTTAATAACGCACTATGCAGTGTTCAAATGCTAGCGGAAAATAGAAATTTCAGTACTGATTGATACCAAAATTCCAGTGCCGTGACAACACTACACTGAACACCACTGAGCACTGGTTTTATTTAGCTCATATTTTCGGCTGTTTTTTTCTTTTGATCAAAATTTGTTGCATCCCTATTTCCTCCTATTGCACCCGATTTTTGCATAATGTTGAACTGCTTTCCTCGATACTTAAAGCTGAAATGTTATTTTTTTGCTCTAAGTATCTTGTGTCATTTCAGTTAATATGGCAACTGTATACACTCACTGCCCACTTTAAGTACACCTATCGTCATTTTGTTTATACACTTATCTAATCAGCAAATCACATGGATATCTACTGATTTAGGTATTAATTATTTTCAATAGTCATCCAGGGGAACCGCTGCTCTGGACTTGTCTCCTCCTTTAACACACCTGATTCTGAACATCAGCTCATTAAGAGAATTTATTCAATTGCACTGAATATGTCACATACAAAATGTGCAAATTGGTGAGTCCTTACAACCAGTAGGTACTGATTTAGCACTATTGTGAGTTACAGACACGCTGGTCTGCCTATTTCAGTCTACAGTTTCACACACAACAATCTCTAGGGTTTACACAATATGGCCCAAAAAGTTAAAACATCCAGTGAGCAGCAGTTTGTTTATATGCGCAAAAATGGTTTGAGCAGTTAGAAAGGCAACAAAAACTGAAAAAGCCACTTGTTACAACAGAGGAATGTAGAACAGCATGTGTCTTGATTTCTGCTGCAACATTTAAATGGGAGGACAAGAATTTGGCCTTGAATCAACCATTCAAGCTGGTTTTAGTGATGTAATTGTGTGGGAGCCATTTTTTTGGAACACTTTGGGTATCTTAGTACCAACTAAGCATTGTTTAAACACCATAGCCTACTTGCTAATTGTTGTATTGTTGCTGGCTAAAAATAGCAACCGTATCAATACCGTTATACATCATAAAAACAATGCACTTATATATGAGACAAGGATTGAATATTTAAGACAAGGATTGAATATTAAATATAATTTATTTAATGCCTAAAACGCATGGTTGTCATCATGGGACAGCGTGGAGGAGAAAGAGAGAGGTAGGAAAAGATGACGAGTCACGCACCAAGTTCCTTGGTCTCAAAAAGGAACACAACTTCTGCAGTTAGTATTTCAGATTTTGACCAAACGAGAAGGGAGAGGCGGTAAATACGAATGAGACAATTTGCAAATTGTGCAACAAGAAGGTTTAAAAGGGACAGTGTTCGTTAAAAAACCTATACTGATGCAGTAACATATTACTTAGCAAATAAAATAATCTCTTTCCACTCTGTAGAAAAAAGGTCAAATTTATTTCATTTGCGTGCACGTTTCTGTGCGAAAAATGATCTGAATGTTTATGTTAATTTAATTCTGTTTGATTGTTGTATTTGCACTTTTTTCTAAACAGCTATTTGTTGCTAATAAAAGTTGTTAATATTGTTGTGAATGTTATTTTGTTATGCTTTCAGTATTAGTGTTTGATATTTCGCTTCTGAACGGTTTATGCACAAGCCAACAGTTTGGTGATGCTGTCTAAGCCTTATGTCATAATTTTTTTTTCCCCGGTTTATTACCGAGATGATATAGGGAGGAGGTTTGACGGTATCAAAATACTAATCCAAGCCTAATCCAAACCAATTCTAAAGGTGTACATACTTAATTATTTGATTATAAGTATAACAAAAGTCTGGAGAAAATCACTGGAGAAACATCAAATTCTACAAAATTGCTCACCAAGCTTACAATTCAATTTCATAGTAATCCCTTTAGTTTCTAAACGTTCAAATCACACAAAATCTGCAGAAATTCACATGTGGTCCGAGCCTGTCCCCTGGAGAAACGTCAGTCTATAGCAATCTCTGATTGGCTCCAGTACTAGTAGACGGGGCTTCATTTACCATATTGACCGTTCAAAACTATTCGAGTGACATGTCTTGTGTATTCTGTAGTCTTTGGAATTGTATATATTTAAATTGTATTTCAGCCAATTTTAGACAAAAAAAATTATTTTCTCAGATAATTGACTTTCACAGACAGGTTATAGAAAAAAATGACTCTGACAAGTCTGAGCTTACCTGCTGTGGCAATGAATTATGGGAAATGAAGGAGACCTTGAAGTTGGTACACACAAGTTTGCCCCAAAGGTCATCCTGACCACTGTCTGCACCGATGCACTTTCTTACAAAGTTCGCCTCGTTCACAACTATTTCACCTGTACAAAAAAAGGAACAAGGAAGTCAGAGGAAAAACACAATAATAAACTGAGCAGGGGATGATTCACATTTTAAAACATTTTGTGTATAAAAGGAAATGCTGGCAGTGCTTATGTTTAGCATGTATCATTGTTTTGTTTGTTCTATTCTGCTTCCAACCAATATGGTCAAGAGTTAACAGAAAACAATAAATGGAAATCATTTATTTTTTATCTGCACAGCAACTGGATCACTGAGCATTCAGGTAACGAACACTCTTGAGGCCCCTTCCTAAAGGCCTTCCTGGAAAAGCCCTCTCCTGAGAAGCTACCGTGCCTCTCCTTTCATGTTGGCAGAAAAACGATGCCCTATTAAAAGAAATGACCTGTTGTGCTGACTAAACAGTCGCATAAACTTTACTATTACCCGAGTATGTACACGCATGCTGAGAGTCCTAAATGTGTGTGTGTTTTTTTTTATACAAACAGCAAGACAGCAGAGTTCATCAAAGGCAGGTGTATCAGGAACCAATTGTCAGGATAAATAAAAACAGATTGAGAGAGACACATTTTATTTGCACTAATAATTCTTGAGAATTGTTTTGAGAAGATCTGACATCAATCGAATGCTGTGTTAATGCCATGGCGTAATTACTGTAATTCCAAGTTGACATGTAATATTCTCTTGACATCCACTGACTAGGGTCTATTCATTTCTATTGCAACAGTCTTAGACATCTACCAAATAATTTGTCAACCACACTAATTAAAAATATATATTACAATAACTGCTTAATAAGTACATTTAATTATTACTCTAAGCACCCACATTTTTCTCAGGTTCTGCTTGAGGTGCAGCGGTCTCACACCACAACTCATACGAGGACATAAACTGAAATCTTGTATTTACAGTAATTCCAATATGTCATGATCACACGTACATATCTCCAGAAAATAACAACAAAGTTTATTTATATTGTTTTAATACTATGAAAATAGACTTTTAAATAGTGGACAGATATTAAAGTAATACATGACATAACTGGGGCACATGCTTGTTATAAACAGAGTGGCATGATTGTTGCCATAATAAGTTTACATTATTTTGCCTTGCTGTTTTGTGCTGGAACCTTGGTTGGTTTAGACCTCTCATGAATAAATATGCCAATGAAACAACAAGTAGATGGCAGCAAGTTTTAATGAGCAATTCACCAAATCAAACTGTGGCCAAAAGAGCTTAACATGCTGCAATTTAAGAAAACACGTGCAATTATAAAACAAACGCCTGCAAATTACAAAAAAATCTTCATCCGTTTGACAGCACACATGCTGTAAATGCTCACAACACAAACACATTTTTTGAAACGTGCTGCATTTTAACACAACACTTGCAAAAGCATTGAAACACAACGCTAATGTTTCAAGTGGACCCAAAAACAGGAGGGATGGAACTGTGCCATGACTATATTGCTCAGTGAAGTTGTAGGTGATCTTTGAAAAGGGAGTTTTTTGTTTGTTTATTTTAACATATTGATTCCCATGTCTTTTGTATTTTTGAACCTAAATAACCATAATCTAAATTGTCGGATATGTCACATTTATGGGTCCTATTGAATAATTTCCGTTGTGATACGTGCTATTGATAAAATGCAGTGCATTTTTTGTAAATTGTTTGCGTTGTGTAAAAATGTAGCATGTTTTTAATGTGTATGCGTTGAGGATTTGCAGCTCATGTGCTGTCAAACGGATGAAGATCTTTTCTTAATTTGCTGCTGTTTTTCACAATTGCACGCATTTTCCTTAATTGCAGCACATTAAGCTCTCTTGGCCACCGTATGATAAGTACAATTTCAGAGTTGTTTGCAGCTGTTACACCGTATGAAAAATATCACAAAGGCACTAGGAGATAACTAACACCATGACTATTTCACTAAAGACTCAGTGCCTTTTAATGTAGTGACCAAAAAGGGATTTAAAAACCTCATCCGAATGCTGGATAGGGCATATACTCTTCCGTCTCATGCATATTTTAGCCATTTTGCTGTACCACAGCTGTACGATGAATGTTGTGATATTTTGTGTAGCATCTGTAGTGATTATTTTGCTTATATACAATATAAGCTACAGAAAGGCTCTTTGCTGAGTGTTCTGTATTTTTCTTCTTATTATTTTTTTGTTTGTATAATAAGCTACACTATTTAGTTGAACTTATTTACAGAAAAGTAAGGTCATTTTCTTTGTGCTTACTGTTTGCTCAAGCAAAAAAAATGGTGTTTTATTTGAATAAACGTTGGAGTAAGTTAATATCATTTTAGTTCCTTTTTTAGCTAATAAACATTATTGAGCTGAAGCTTACAAAGTGAAATCGCAAATCAAATCGAAATCGCAATATATGTGAAAAACAAATTGCAATGAGATATTTTCCCCAAATCGCACACCCCTAATTGCTGTTGAACTTTCTAATTATCTAAACAAACCAAAACTCTCATTTCTAAATTGCACTGTTAAAATCTGTTTTAGCAGACATGACTACTTCTGTCTTTGGCTGAACTACATAAGTCACACATATGGAAATAAAGAAAAAGCACATTTTGCTTCACTCTAAACATAGCACTTCCTCTTCTGCTGGCTCTAAGGATCATCCAGACACATTAAGAGGCAAAATTGAACAGAGATGTGCGTATGCTGGAAAGGAATAATCAAGTCGCTGAGAGGAAGAGTGAGGGAGAAGAAAACACAAACCCCAGCTGTGAGCACTTTATGTGTGAGCGCAGTAAGGAGTGTTTGTCTCACAGCTGGGACGGATTCAGGGGTTACAGCAGGGCAGGGTGCAGGATAGCTAAGATGGAGGTTGGGTCCTGTGAGAAGATTTGCATCACAGGCACAAATACTGGTGAACATTTTACTAAATGATATGATTTTCTTATGACTACACTTGTTTGGAATCTGAGCCCACACAGTACTGACTGACTTTTACAACAAAAGTACACATGTACTTCATATCCACCACTACTTATTCAATACTTATTATTATATATTTATAGTAATCTGCTGCCCAGCAGGCACCTTCATCTTAAAACGGCACAAAAAAACATTTATAAAAAGTCAAAAATGCAAATCAATTTTATGTCAATTAACAACCTAGAGGCCAAAACGACATCAAATTTCATCTAACACTTTTGTCAAACAGTGACAGGACAGTCCTTTACACTGATTACAGTTCTTTGACACAATAGATGTCAATTTGATGGTGTTTTGACATAAACTACAGACATCCAAAATTCTGTGTAAATTTGCCATTTGCAATTGAAGGTTTTAGAAAAATAAAACCTCTTATATTACTTCTTGTGTTGTTATTTTGGTGGTCGAAAGGAAGTCAACTTGTGGATGTCAAATTGGCGTCAATGTTTTGACATCAAATTGATTTGCATTTTTTGATGTCTTTGTCATTTTGACATCAAAATGTCCACTGGGTAATTCATTAAGGTCCCACTTTATATTAAGTGGCCTTAATTACTATGTACTTACATTTAATTAAATAATTTGGTACAGTACACTTATGTACAATGCATCCTGAAAGTAGCGCTACACTTTTTCCACGTTTTTTTATGTTACAGCCTTATTCCAAAATGGATTAAATTCATTTATTTCCTCAAAATTCTACACACAATACCCCATAATGACAATGTGAAAAATAGATTTTTTTTAAATTGTTCCTAATTTATTAAAAATAAAAAACCTGAAAAATCACATTCATAAGTATTCACAGCCTTTGCTCAATCGTTTGTTGATGCACTTTTGGCAGCAATTACAGCCTCAAGACTTTTTGAATATGATGCCACAAGCTTGGCACACCTGTCTTTGGAAATTTCTGCCCATTCCTCTTTGCAGTACCTCTCAAGTTCTATCAGGTTGGATGGGAAGCGACGGTGTACAGCCATTTTTAGATCTCTCCAGAAATGTTCAATAGGATTTAGGTCTGGGCTCTGACTGGGCCACTCATAGACATTCCCTGTGGTGAAGCCACTCCATTAGTATTTTGGCGATGTGCTTTGGGTCATTGTCCAGCTAGAAGACAAATCATCACCCCAGTCTGAAGTCAAGAGTACTCTTTTCATTTAGGATGTCTCTGTACATTGCTGCATTCATCATACTGCAATTGTAACCTCACCAGACCAGAGAATTTTGTTTCTTATGGTCTGAGAGTCCCAAGATGCCTTTTGGCAAATTTCAGGCGGGGAGTGGCTTCCACCTGTCCACTCTACCATAGAGGCCTGATTGGTGAATGGCTACACAGATGCTTGTCCTTCTGTAAGGTTTTCCTCTCTCCACAAACACTTGAGCTGAGAGTGACCATCAGGTTATTAATCACCTCCCTGACTAAGGCCCTTCTTCCCCGATCCCTCAGCTTAGATGGCGGGCCAGCTCTAGGAAGAGTCCTGGTGGTTCAAAACATCTTCCACTTAAGGATGACGGAGGCCACTGTGCTCATTGAAACTTTCAAAGCAGCAGAAGTTTTCTATAACATTACCCAGCCCTGTGCGTTGAGACAATCCTGTCTCGGAGGTCTACAGACAATTCCTTTGTCCTCATGCTTAGTTTGTGCTTTGACATGCACTGTCAACCCTAGGACCTTACATAGACAGGCGTACGCCTTTTTAAATCATGTCAAATCAACTGAATTTATCACAGGTGAACTCCAATTAAGCTGCTGGAAGATCTCAAGAATGATCAGTGCAAACAGAATGTACCTGAGCTCAATTTAGAGCTTCACGGCAAAGGCTGTGAATACTTATGTACATGTGATTTTTCAGCTTTTTTATTTTTAATAAATTTGCAACAATTTCAAAAAATCTTTTCACATTGTCATTATGGGGTATTGTGTGTAGAATTTTGAGGAAATAAATGAATTCAATCCATTTTGGAATAAGGCTGTAACATAAAAAATGTGGAAAAAGTGAAGCGCTCTGAAAACTTTCCGGATGCTCTGTACAGACAAGTTTTTAAACTACTTGTACATA